CGATATTTGGATTTACCTCCCCCTCTCCCACCGTGTGTCCTGGTGCAGGTTCAGGGTGGGGTAGGAGTTGGTCTGTGTGACAGACTCTGTTCTCTCTGACCTGCTGGTGACATGATCTGGAAACCGAGGCCTGGGGAGGCCAGGTCCTCTGGCTTGGTCCCCCAGCTGGTCAGAGCAGAAGGGAGACCTGTGTGCATCTTGGTTCTTTCCCGGAACTGGGGCAGTGAGGGCCAGAGGCCTTTCCTAAGTAGCTCAGCCTGGCTGGTCTGTCTGTGGGAGGCAGCCCCTGGCTCCCCAGGTCTTCTAGCTCTGCTCCCAGGTTCCCAGACTCTTCTCCTTGCTGGCTGGGTGGGTGGGGGTCCTTGGCAGGCACCCCGAAGCCGATACTCATTTCTAGCTCACAGGCCAGGCATGGCTTGAAGAGAAAGGTTGAGAGTTGAAGACTGGACCAGGTGCTATGGAGAGTAAGGGGGATGGAATAAGCCTGGGCCTGGGGATTTGGGAGCTCAAGTGGGGGTGATGAGACTTGAAGGAGGCGGGGGTGTTCATAGGCAAAGATACAAATTTGAGAGCTGGGGGGCTGCTTCTGCTTCTGAGAACCCCCACCCTCCAAGTTAACTCCTGGAAAATCTCCATAGCCAAAACTCTGAGGCTACAGAAAGCTAAGCCAAGGTGCAGGTGAGGGGAACCCCCCTTTTCCTCTCAGACCTCACCCCACCCTCCTTTCCTCCTGAGGAGCAGCCAAGGGTGATCTCCAGTTCTCAGGGTCAAGCCCAAAGTCCTTCTCACCATCCAGACCTACATCTACACATCTGGAGGCAGCCTCTGTGCCCCCAACTCAATACACATGAGCACATGCAGTTTCTTCTCACCCCAGGGCCTTTGCACCAGCCATTCCCTTTTTCTGGGAGCACCACTTCCTGACTGGTCCTCCCAAGCAAGCACCCACACATCTCTCTCTCACAGGCTCCATCCTCCTGCCTGCTCCTTGACCACAGAGAGATGGATATCAGTGGTCAGTCCCTGTTCAGAAGGGTCTGGCTCTGCACAGCACTACAGCACACAGTAGGAGGTCAGGAAATGCCCTTATGACAGGCATGGATGGTGCTCAAAGCTATGGAAACAGATACACTGAAATGTCACACTGGCTGGGCAGTGGTGGCACACGCCTTTAATCCCAGCACTCAGGAGGCAGAGGTCGGCGGATCTCTGTAAGTTCGAGACCAACCTGGTCTACATGAGCGAGTTCAAGGACAGCCTCCAAAGCCACACAGAGAAACCCTGTCTTGAAAAGCCAAACAAAAAAAAAAAAAAAAGAAAAAAAAGAAAAAAAGAAAGAAAAGAAATGCCACACTGATAGACTCCTAGAGGTGCATCCTGGGTGTCTGGACATCTGTAGGTGCCCGGAAGTTCTGGGCCCACACTGCCCTGCCTGGTCCTACTCTCTCGTGATAGAAGTGTGGCTACACGCTGACGTATTTTTAACTAGTGTGAGTTGAAATGGCTACAGGTGGTTAGCGGTCTGCATACGGAGCAGGGAGCTAAAGGGAGGAGGAAGATGCTATTGTCCCCAAGCTAGCTGCCTGCAGCGGTCACCCAGGGAAGTACTGAGGCCTCCCCAGTCCCCACCACTGCCCCTCGAGGCCAGATGCATCAAGGTCCCCACAAGGCAGGGCCTCACCGCGCAGTGCCTCAGAGGCTGCCTGGTGATGTGGCAGAAACTCTCCACAGTGGTGACAAATCCCCACAGGAGAAGAGAGGGCCTGAGAGTGAGGCCATCTTTAACGGCACTGTTACTGTTGTACTACAAATTTGGCCACCAAGACCACCATCAACAGCCACCACCCACACCATGAGGCCACCAAGATAGCCAGCGGCTCCCCCCCACCACACACCTGCATCACAGATCGTTCCTAACATTATCCCAGCAGGTCCATCATGACGATGATGACCCCTCAGCATCCCTTCATCACCGCACGCTCCTCCATTATGACCCCACCCCCGCCATGGACACCATTACCCCCGGGCATCACCTGACCCATGACCACATCCCACCCCTCCTCCTGCACCTGCAGCCAGCATACCATGCCAGCACTGGACTCCCAACTGTCTGGATTTTGATACCAGCTCTGAGTGCGATTCACTCAGCTTCTGGGAGACTCAGTTTCTTTGCCTGTAAAATGGCCTCACTAGGAGTCAAAAAAAGACTTTCTGACTGTGATTGGTGGGGAGGAACCAACCAACCTGTGAGTTTGATAAATGGGTGTGTTAAGGTACTGAGGGTCTCAGTGCCGGGGGAGGGGGACTTGCTTAAAAAAATCGTCACATAGCTCTGAGAGACGGAGATCTACCCACTTTACAGTCGAAGAAACTGAGGGTCAGAGAGGTGATTCTTTTATCCACATTCCCCCAAACTAGTGTGAGGTAGGGCTGGAACCAAAGTGTTAACCTGGGCCAGGCCACACTGTCCCTTTTCCCAGTGGAGGGAGAGGGAAGAAGCCTAATTGGCAGGCAGGACCTTCAGAACCCCAGCTCCCCTTTCAGGAATGCTGGGGGGGGGGGATTGTTGCATTCCCTGCCCCTCTTGTGAGAGGCTGGCCGGGTCCGGTAGAGGTCTACTCACCTGTGTCTTGACGGAACTGATGCATGGATTGTAGGTCAATGATGTAGGGCACCAGCTGGGCATCCACCTGGCCCAGGACCACGGAGCCCCGGGCATCCTCCTTTAGAACATTCTCGATGTGGTGGCACACGGTGGCCGTGTAGGGTCGCCAGCGGCTGTGTTCATTGAGCCACTCCCACACCACCACCCGGGCCACGTTCTGCGGCGGGAAGCCCAGCCCGTTCACCGGCACCATCACACCTTGGCCTGGCCGTGACATGGCCGCTGCTGCCTGCGGGGCCAGCTCCCCACTGTTGCTGGCCCAGCTCCTCCTGGGCCTGGGAGCACCGGGGAAGCGTCGTCCTCTCTCTCCAGGGCGGGGAGTGAGGAGTGTGGCCTCTTTTCCAGCTGGGCTCCTCTCCAAGGCCTAGAGGCCTGGGTTAGGGGGATGGGTGGCCATCCAGACGCCGCAGCGAGGACCCCTTCCCGCAGAGCGCAGCTGTTGCACACAGGGATATGCTGAAGGCAATGTCTGTCCTAGGTGGGGGATGTGCTCTTAGTTCCTGGGTTCCTTCGGTGCAGGTGCGGGAGTGAGGAGCTTGCCCCTCCAGGTCCGGCCTTTCCCCACTTCTCTCCGGTTGCTTCTGTCCGCCACGCAGGGCCTTGTCACCCGGGAGGCCCTGGCTGCAGCCTTGCTGCTCAGCTCTGTGTCCCAGACCCTGTGCCTCGCTGGTCGGTTCCGCCCCTCCCGACGGCTCCACAGTAGGGGCTCCCTGCACCCTGCACCCCTGTCCCCTCTCCTGGTCGGCCCGAGTGGTCGCGGATGTCCCAGGGAAGGGGGCGGAGCACGGGGTTCTCTGGTCTGGAGCTGCGGTTGGGGGACCCCCCCCGGGGGGGCGGGGGCCGTGGGCACGCCCCACCCACCCCACTGGTGTTCGCGACCTGCAGGGGCGACAAGAAGGGGAGAGGGCCCTTTAAGAAGAGAGCAGCCCCCTCCCCCTCCCGGGAGCCGTGGTGGAGAACAATGGGGTGCCGGTGGGGGGGCGGCAGGGGGGCTCGGGGGTCCACGCCCTGCGGTCCCTGGGGTGCCTGGAGAAGAGCAGGCTCGGGACCCTAGACTGTCACCCACAGTGACCTGTGCTCGACTGGAGCGCGTCCCCCGCCTCGGGCCACGCGCTACCCGAGGCTGCGGTGTGGGATGCGGGGACGCGGGATGTGCGGACGCAGGATGCGGGGATGCAGGATGTGGGGATGTAGCATGCGGGATGCGGAATGAAGAATGAGGAATGCAGGGATTCGAGCTCACAAGACGAGGGCTATTGAGACTGATGGAGGGTGCCCGGTGAAGCCGGGACCCGGGTCTCCTTGGGGGGTCGTGTCTCCAGAGGCTAAAGGGCTGCAGGTCGCTATGTCCCCTCCCTGTGGTATCTACCCGAGGACCCGCCACAGCCAGGGATGTGGGGTCCCTGCGATGCTCTCTCACCGTGATCTCCCCGCGCTGGCTCCTTCCCCGGAGGGAGAGAGGGGACCGTCCTGCCTCCGCCCCAGTCCGGACCTCGCCCGCCCAGGACAGACCGACAGACAGACAGAAGGACGCAGTAGCCCTGGCTCGCGGACGCGTCAGACGCGTCGCCGGGATCCCGCGGGTGGAGGCGGCCTCGGGGCGGGGCGGGTGGAGGAAGGGGAGGAGACCGACCCGCCCAACCGCCGTGACACGGGAGTCACTGAGTGCCCGGCTGGGCCCGCTGAGAGGAATCGGGTTCAGGCTGTGTGTGTTCAGGGGTCCAGCTCCCAATCTGTCATCTTTGCATTTAGCAGCTAGGGCAGAGCCTGGTACATAGCAGGCGCTCAATAAATGCTTGAATGAATAAATCTGATTTAGAGATAGTCTATAAGGCCTTCTGGGGTGGAGAGCGAAGGGGCCCAGAGGGCCCATTTCAGAGCCAAATGGAACCCTGGACCCTGGAGAGCTCAGAAAGAGGCCCACATAGGATGAAAATCAATTAAGAGCACTGACTGCTCTTCCAGAGGACCTGGGTTCAATTCCCAGCACCCACATGGCAGCTCACACCAGTCTATAACTCCAGTTCCAGGGGATCTAACACCCTCATACAGACATACATGCACAGAAAATAAAAACAAATACAGCATTTTAAAAAATGAATAGGGCCGGGCGTTGGTGGCGCACACCTTTAATCCCAGCACTTGGGAGGCAGAGGCAGGCGGATCTCTGTGAGTTTGAGGCCAGCCTGGTCTACAAGAGCTAGTTCCAGGACAGCCTCCAAAGCCACAGAGAAACCCTGTCTCGAAAAACCAAAAAAAAAAAAAAAAAAAAAAAAAAAAAAAAGAATAAAGAGCCAGGTGGTGGTGCATGCCTTTAATCTCAGCACTTGGGAGGTGGGTCCCTGATTCTGGGGCCAGGCTGGTCTACAGAGCAATTTCCAGGACAGCCAGGACTACACAGAGACATCATGTTTGGGAAAACCAAATCGAGTCCCACATCGTTAGAGCCTGAACAGCAACTGGACCTGCATCCAGCTCTAGTTTGGTTTCAGGATCCAGTTAGCTAAACCATGCCGCTTCCCGGATAGCCACCTGCTCTTCCAGGCCAGAGGGATGGGAAGGGCATCCTCCAGGCAAGGGACCAGGCCTGGAGGCAGGAAGAGAGGGAGGGACGGATGGCCTCAAACCAAGATCCTTGCAGCCACCTGCAAACAATAGGTGCCCCATAAATGTTGGCCGAGCACTTGGGGCAGCAGTTCAGTTGTTAATGGACACTATGGTGGGCCCTTTGTCTTCTGGCAAACTGGAAGATAAGGGTGTGGCTGCCCAGGCTGTCTGGGAAGGGGAGCTGTGATCCAGGGTTTGTGAGTCTGTTTGGGATTCAGCCCAGAGTGGCCCAAGCTTGCTCCTCTGCCTCCCTGGGGGGTAAGGTCAAGAGCAGGCTACACTGGGCATTTTTCCCAGAACAAACTGGGTCAACTGGAGTAGTCCCTCTCCTCCCCAGGTTCCCCTCGGTCCTTCAGGGCCAGCTCCTAGATAGATCCTGGCTCTACTAGCTCGAGGTCAGTGGCCTGTGGGAGGGCAGCCTCCAAACTGCAGGTACGGCCTCCTACAAGATTGGGAGGCACAGAAATTTTAGTTCAGGGTCCTCGAATGACATCCTGAGGGTGGGGAAGGGGCATAAAACCCAGCATCAAGGAGACACAGCTGTGGCGTCATTTTTCAGAGAAGAAAGCCATTTACAATCTTTTGTAACCAAGCTGTAACGACCCTGTCTTGTGACAGAGGTGGAACTCTGAGGTCCTCAGGAGAGGAAGACGTTGGCTCAAAGTCACACAGGGATTTAGTAGCAAAAAAAAAAAAAATGAAAGAGGAACCCAATCTAGGGCCTTTTGCTTTATGTTGCTTAGAGCCCCGCAGCAAGCACCCCTGCCTCCAGGCAGTCTTCCTGGATTTATTCTCGCCATCAGCTGCTTAACCACTTACATGAAACTGATTCCTGCTCAAGAGGTACCGAAGGGCCCCTGCTATATCCACACCCTGTGGCCTGAGCTCGCTGCATGTTGGATTCTATTTGAGTGTCTGTTACATATAGCCCCTGGAGGTAAGACCATGCCCTTATTTTACAGGCAGGAAATAAAAAATCTCTGGAAGTGCAGAGAGGTCACCTGATCTGTCCAAGCTCCCACAAGAATTTAGCAGAGCTGGGAATTGATTCCCAAAAGCCTTTGCGCCGTCCAAGGCAACATGCCACCATGGTGTTTGCTGAGTGACTAGTGAATGGGATCTGGCACAGCGAAGGCCATTCATGGCTCAGAAGATGGGTGAAAAGCAGTGATGAGTCAGCCACCTGTGGTTCCAGGAGGGGTCCTGTCGCAGGGCACAGTCCCTAGGAGCATGTGCTTGTGGCTTCTGTCCCTGACTCACAGAACAGGGTGGGTGCAGCTTCTGGACTCTTCTCAGCCCCTCTCTGTCCGTCAAGAGCTGGGACCAGCTGTGTTCTGTCCTTCCGAGATTGTGAAAACTTTAAGTGCTCAGGCTGTGGTCAATTTTTATGTCTTTGGGGCCCTTGGAAGTCAGGGAACTTCCTGAGGCCATAGGGCTGGGTATGGTGGACCAGAGGGACCCCAGAAGACCTGTGAGGCCCACTCAGTGACAAGGAGGCGTCTTGTTGAGGGTTACACGTCTAAGCTGTGGCCTGGGATCAGTGTTTCCCTACAAGAGGCAGGGGGAGCAGGGTGACGAGACCCCGTGCCTACCCTGAAGTCCACATGCAGCCCAGCGTCCATCTGTGAATGCTGGGCTCCCTCGTGTGATCAGGAGCCCCTCCCAAGTGTTCTCAAAGATGGCGAGAGCACAGTCCTCACCTCAGAAACTGAGGTTGTTTTCCTGGGATTGAAAGAGTGGCACCGAGGCAGGCTGAGTCAGGGGGTCTGTATTCTGAGTGCCCCAGCTGGCTTGGGGCTGGCGAGATGGCTCAGTGGGTGAAGGCATTCGCTGCCAAGCCGCATGACCTGAGTTCGATCCTTGGGGCCATTTGGAATGGCAGTGAGGTCAGCGGACCCAAGAATGGGCCTGTCCTGAAGATGACTGAGCAGAGGGAGAGAATGAAGCAGGCCGGTGGGAGGAGAGAGAAAGAGAGAGAAAAGGACACTCCTGGGTCCCTAGAGGAGTCCAGACCTAGAGTTGACTTCCTCAGTTACTCCTGGAATTGTATGACCCAGGACCTGGAAGTTCTACCAAGCCAGTGCTGGGCATGCGATGCTGGTAGAAACTGGACATTTCTAGTACATTCTGTGAACCAGGGACTCTAAGCCCAGTGGGCATTGTGGCAGACTTTACACACCCCCAGGACTCCCAGAAAGAGCCAGATATATAGTTAATGTGATCCAGGCGTGCTTGATGTTTGGCACCTCTGAAAGAGGTTGGCCAAGGGAAAGACAGAGGTCTATCCACCTGCAGGGACCAGGTCCCTCACCCCTCTAGAAAATGCAGGCCAGGCAGGGGGATGAAATAGGAATGAGTGCAGAGCGCCCTCTTGTGGCCAGAGTTTATGCCTTTGCTGTCCTGACTTTTTAGGTAATCTATTTTAAAATGCTTCTTATTGTGGCAAAAACTGGGAATGTAAGATTTCCCCCATTTTAGTCACACCTGATTTTACAGTTGATCTGCACCAAGTAGGTCCCTGTTGCGCAAATGATGCCCCCCCAACACACTCACACAGTAGTGACCAAGAACACACCGTAAAGTGTCTCTGTGAGACCTTGCTTTCAGTTCCTTTGGCTGTGTCCCTTGTCAGTACAGAAGGATCTAGAATGACCTGTCAAATGGTTCTGAGTGTGTCCCTGAGGGAATTCCCAGAAAGCATTAACCCAAGTAAGAGACCTGCCTTGAGAGTGGACCGCATCACGCTGCACGCTGGTGACCAGGACAGCATGATGGGGACAGAAGGAGCCCTTGAGGTGCTGGCCTTGTCCCCTCCTGAGCTTCCTGTGATCTGAGAGGCTCTCCTCTGTTGCCCCCTGTCCTCTTCGTGATGGATGGAAAACTCCTTCCTCCCTCAGGCTGTGTCTGTCAAGTATATTGTGCCGGTGGTGAGAAAAGCTAGAGACTAAGCCACGCTCCCCCAAATTCATAAGCCGAGGCTTAGCCTCCAATATGGGTGCATTGGGGGACACAGCTCCAACACAGCAAACGCATTGGGGAGCTGGATGCTGAAGCCCCAGTCTGTCTGTCTGTCTCTCCTGTCTCTGTCTCTCTCTGTCTGTGTCTCTCTCATCTCTTGGTCTCTTTCTGTCTCTTGGTCCTTCCCTCTCCCTCTCTCCAAGCTACATGATCATGTACACATAATTTTTTTTTTAATTTCTATAACATCTGAGGTCAGATCCACACAGGGTATCTACTTACCCAGAAGCGCTCTGGTCCCCATGTCCCATCATGAGGGAGGCTGGTGACTGCCACGGTTGGACAGGATGTGTGGCCACCGTGTCAGCTCCCTGCAGGCTCACTCACAGCTGGCTGGAGGGGTCCAGGAAGAGCGTCCAGACTCTGCAACAGAAGAGAGAAAACTCCCCAGGTCATGTGGGCCCTGGGCCACCCAGGGCACCCATCCCAGCTGGTGCGAGGGCTTACGGGAGATAATTTCCGGTTACTGTTCCTGTCCCCTCTGGCTGAAGGGATTTTTTCATTGCAGCTCGAACTGATCAAGCAGGTGCATTACTGGGAAGCTTTGGGATACAAATTTTTTAAAATTAAATCTTATCTCATCATATGTGTTAGGTCAAAGGACAACTTATATGAATCCGTTTTCTCTTTCTACCATGTAGGTTCCAGAAATCGAAGTCAGGTCCTTAGGCTTGGTGATACTCACTGTTACCCACTGGTCCAGGACTCTTAGTGGGGATCCTTGGGGAGGTCAGTAGTACCTCAGATTCAATGATGCTATAGAGAAAGAGACCTATGTATAATGCTCTCCCTCTGGCCCTCTGTCTTTCCTCCCTCCCTCTCTCCCTCTCTCTCTGTCTCCCTCCCTCCCTCCTTCCCTCCCTCCCTCCCTCCCTCCCTCCCTCCCTCCCTCCCTGTCTCCCTCCCTCCTTCCCAGTGAATTCCTAGGACCTTGCAGAGGGGCCAGGCTAAGGTCCAGAGGGCAGGCAGGAGCTCAGGGAAGAACTGGTTGTTGGTCACAGAATTCTTTCTTCCTCTAGGGACCCCAGTCTTTTTCTCTTGAGACAGTCAACTGATTGGATGAGACTCACCCATGTCATGGAGGATCAACCTCTTGTCTCAGGGCCTACTTACCTGAATTTTAACAATACTGTTAAAATACGTTACAGCACCATGGGCTGGAGAGATGGCTCAGAGGTTAAGAGCACTGGCTGCTCTTCTGGAGGTTCTGAGTTCAATTCCTAGCAACCACATGGTGGCTCACAACTATTTGTAATGAAATCTGGTGCCCTTTTCTGGTCTGCAGGGATACATGCAGACAGACCCCTGTATAAATAAATAAATTTAAATAAAAAACATTTAAAAATACAATACAGCACCATGTAGATGACTGGGTATTTTGATCAAACATCTGGGTACCGTGCCTAGCCAAGTTGACACCTAAAACTAACCATACTAGTCACCAGTATTCTTTTGCTCTCCCACAGAAGACAGACTGATGTTTCAGTTCCAGCCTTATCTCCTCCGAGTCACAAGATGGCTGCCAGGGCGCTGGAAATTACAATCCCAAACATGAGTGTCCAGAGCAAGCAGGGAGAAAGAGTAAGCACATCTTTAACTGGTTCTTGTCTTTCGTAAGAGGAGGAAAACCTCTGGCCTCATGGCTGAGCTGTTTCCATCAGGCAGCACTGGGTCACATGCCTTCCAGTGGGTGGACTGGCAGGGACCCAAGGTGGCCTTCCCCCAGGGGAGACCCAGCCTCTGGGCTCAGGTGGAGTTTGGAGAGCTGGAAGGGAGGGGGGATGACAGTGAGGGCGGGGCGAGATGGATGTGGTACAGACATCCCCCAGAGGAAGGAGGAAACGGGAAGTGGGAAGCAGGAAGCAGGAAACGGGAAGCAGGAAGCAGGAAACGGGAAGCAGGAAACGGGAAGCAGGAAGCAGGAAGCAGGAAGGCAGCGAGTAGAATGGGCTATGCTCTCCTACAGCATTGCACTTGCTTCCTGATGATTGGCCCAGGCCACCTGGGCCTTCTCCTGGTTGGGAAGGTAGGGACCCAGCTGCAGTGGAAGTGGTCACCACCAGCCATGTCCCTGGTGGGATAATCTGCTCTTGTCTGTCTGGGCTCCAGCCAATAACTGACACCTGGCCAACAGCCTGCTGTCAGCTAAACACCGAATCTGCCCGGGGAGGCCGAGGAGAACACTGGGTGGTGGAGGGGGGGCTGGTGCAGGGAGATTCCCCACACAGGGAGGAAGGCGAGGGAGAGAGGTGGGGGCAGGTGGACACACGGGAGAAAATGGCCAAGTTTCGGGAGATTGTGGAAGCATTCGGGTGCGAAGTGTGGTTTTGAGTGGAGGGTTGGAGGAGGGCATTAGTGGTGAGCCTGCGTGTTTATGTATGTGCAGGCAGGCATGAATGTGCACGCACATGGAAGCCAGAGGTCACCTCAGGGGCTTTTCCTCTGGAACTGTGCACCTTGCTTTTAGAGACAGGTTCTCTCACCGGCATGAGGCTCCCCAAGTAGTTTAGGCTGACTGGCTAATACTAGGGGTCCTCCTATCTTCACCAGCTCCACACTGGGATGGCCAGGGTGTGCCTCTGGGCTTGGTTTTCGTTTATTTCGTTTGTTTGTCTGGTTTTGGTTTTTCTTATTTATTTATTTATTTATTTATTTATTTTTGGTTTTTTGAGATAGGGTTTCTCTGTGGCTTTGGAGGCTGTCCTGGAACTAACTCTTGTAGACCAGGCTGGTCTTGAACTCACAGCGATCCGCCTGCCTCTGCCTCCCAAGTGCTGGGATTAAAGGCATGCGCCACCAATGCCCAGCCGGTTTTGGTTTTTCGAGACAGGGTTTCTCTGTGTATCCCTGGCTGTCCTGGAACTTGCTCTTATAGACCAGGCTGGCCTGGAACTCACAGGGATCCGCCTGCCTCTGCCTCCGGAGTGCTGGGATTAAAGACGTGTGCCACCTCTGCCTGGCTTGTGCTTTGTTTTAAATGTGGGGTCTGGGGATCAGGCTCAGGCCACCATGTTTGCAAGGCAAGCACTTTACCAATGGAGCCATCTTCCCCTGAGTTCTGGAGGTAGACCTCTGAGGGCCGTAACCTGGACCCCCTTCCAGCCTGGGTTCTCTGCCTAGAGAACCAGCTGCTTGTTCCACCACGTGAACTCGGCCATGCTTTCCCCGTCACAATGGACTGGCTTCTGCCAGGCATTTGGCCTTCATGCAATAAAGCAACGGATATACCACTTTCAGACAAGAGCCGAGCCTGTGGTCCCTGGGGTCCCACTGTCCCAGTCAAACAAGGCTAGCTCTTCGTTGCTGTGTGACTTTGGACAAGTTGCTTTACTTCTCTGACCCGGTTTTTCTCTTCTGTAACACTTGATGCTATTAACTGATATTTCTTAGAGTGTGAGGACTCAGTTGTTTTACCAATGCCGAGTTCTGAAAACACTACCTGTTTGCCAATACCCTTGATAAATGTTAACCAGCTTTGAAAAAAAACAAAACAAAACCACTTCATTATTGAAGAGAGAACAGTCTGTCATTTACCATAAATCAGGTTGCCTTGTCCTCTTCTGGCCCTGAATTTCAGGGTCTGAATGTTCCAAAGTGTTTAAGGTGTGGTGGCCTTAGCGAGACAACGAGATGGAACTAAAAGATTCTCTCGGGAACAGACCAACCCTGGAGACCACACTCTGTATGGCTGGCTTCCTGCCTTGCTCCAGGGCTGACTGAGGATGTGGGCAGGCTCCTCCATCTCAGCCTCCCCCGGGCTCTGCAGCCAGGGGTGAGGGTGGGGCGGGGGGGGGTGTAGAGCTGTTCTCTCTGCATCAGACCCCATGCCCCGCTCCCCCTTTGGAAGTGAGCCTTGGGGTTGGAATTGGGCTGGCAGAGCGGATGTGCTGGGTGGGGAGAAAATGGCTCCTGGGGAGGGATGAGGAAGGAGTTTCTGTGCCCCAAACCCAGGCAGGCCTTGGGAAGGCAATGTGTACTGACCCAACACAAGGAGCTGGCAGTGGTGGTTCCGGATGCAGCCCAGCATCAGAACTTGCGGGTGCTGAAGTTGGGTCAAAGCAGGCCTGGGTGATCTGGTGAGAAAGCGAGGAGCCTGGAAAACTGTCAGGTGTGGGGGGGGGGTTCCTCATCTGGGGTTGTCTTAGTTACGGTTTCCATTGCTGCGATGAACACCATGAACCGAAAACCGGAAGAAGGAAGGGTTTGTCTCAGCTCACACTTCCACATCACACTATGTCACTGAGGGAAGGCCGGGCAGGGACCCAGAGGCAGGAGCTGATGCAGAGGCCATGGAGGACGCTGCTCACTGCCTCGATCCCATGGCTTGCTCAGCCTGCTTTCTTACAGAACCCAGGACCCCCAGCCCAGGGGTGGCCCCATTCACGGCCCTCCCACATCAATCACTGATCAAGAAAATGCCCTACAGGCTTGCCCACAGTCCTATGGAGGCATTTTTTTTTTTTTCGTTTGTGGTTCTCTCTTCCTAAATGGCTCTAACTTGTGTCAGGTTGACAAAAAGATCAAAACAAACAAAAATTGGCAAAGGGGGTGGGAAAAAAGAGAAAGGAAGAAGAGACGTGGGTGTAAGGGGAGCAGAGAGGGGGGACGAGAGAAGCCAAGGGGTGAGGGAGGACAGAGAAAAAGGATGCCACTGTGGGAGGGAGAGGGAAGGGGACGGAGGGGACCTGGAGGCAGGAGGATTTCCTCCAGTCCACTTTCCAGCCAGCCAACTCTCTCTTCAGCCGTGTCTAATGCTGCTGCTTCATTTGTGTCTTCAGATTTCTGCTTCCTTCTTTGGTCAACCCTTCACGTCACGTTCTACGGCTCCTGTTACCTGCCATTTCAAACTGTTCTCTCTTTAAATGTGTGACTCCTAGTTATTGTGTGTGTGTGTGGCATAGGTGCATATGTGTTCATGGGAGCATATGTGTGTGTGTGTGTCCACATAAGCGTGTGGAGGTCAGAGATTGGTGTCAGGTCCTTAGTCACCCTCCACCTTGTATATATCCAGGCAGGAGTACGCTTCCTCAAGTACCTAGAACTCGGAGGTAGGTGGGTGCTACCCGATGCCCTGCCATGCTCATCATTCATTATAGGTTGGTGGATCAGCATTACTGGACAGCTGTGCTTGGTCAACGTGCTGGCCTCTGGGTATCATGTTTGTTTCCTCATCTTGTAGATGCTCATGGCCAAGCAAGAGGAACCAGAGTGGGGCGGCCAAGGTCACCCCTGCCTTAGGAAAATACTTGTTTTTGACTCCTTCCCCCATCCCAGTAACCCTCTCCCCCAACCTGACTGCTCAGCACTGAGACGCGGTGCAGTCAGGCCAGCTGCCGAGGAGGCTGGACACACAGTTAGAGTGACTGAGTGAGACGCGTCAATAGAGAGGCATTGGGAGTGACAACGGGCGTGTGAAGGCTTGGTGGCTTGGTCACATGAACTCTGCTGGTGCCCTGGAGCCATTCACCTGCCTCTTTTCTCTTCTATCCATGCCCCATATGCTTCCAGCAGCCACATGGTAACCCCACGGATCAGGGACACCATGGCCTTGATGCTCTTGACATCCTGTCACTCTTAGAATCCCACAGAGCAGGGAGCCTGGCAGGATGCTCCTGGGAGTCCCCCAGCCCCCAGTGTTCCACGTGACATCGTCAGTGAGCAAAGGGCTACAAGATGCAAAAGCTGTCCCCGGAGAGCCGAGCATCGTGACGAGACTGTATTCACATGTCCTCCCGCCCTGAGAGACGCGGGGAGTGTCTCAAGTGAAGGATATATAAATTTAGTGGGAAAAAAGCCATGAATACTTGATTTAATCTTGTTGAAGAGCTGGTAATTAATTGGAACATAATGTAAAATATGCTAATTGGAACGCAATGTAAAATATGCTAATTGGATCATATTGTAAATTAAGCTAAATGTCATTTAAAATGAGCTTACTTTCAAGTAACCCATCTTCTCACTCCCACTTACAATGCCATTTCCCTCCTGTGGGCTCAGTTGAGGGGCCCTTCCCTGCTCTGTGTGTGTGGTGTGTGTGTGTGTGTGTGTGTGTGTGTGTGTGTGTGTGTCTTGTGGGTGTCTGTCTCTCTCGTGTGTCTCATTAGGGTTGCTTACAGGAGCATGAGCACCTTACCAATGTTATATCACTGAAGAAGATCCCTCCCCCTGCCCCCATCAACCATTAACTATATATAAATCCCCATGAAGGGGTATGACCTCATGAGCCGCTCATCCCTTCCATGACAGGATGGCAGTGGACTCAGTCTTGTGCAGGCCTTGTGTGGATAATTATAGATGCTGTGAGTTCAAGTGTCTAACAGCCCCACTAGGCCCTGAAGTTAGCTTTCCCCGGCCCTGCCATCTCCAGCTCTTAAATTCTTTGTGTCCCTTCTCCCCTGATGTTGCCTACACCTTGGAGGGGGTCACACAGAGGTCCCATTTCTTCTCTTCTTTTTTTTTGAAAAACATTGTTTTAGCTTTTGCAGAAGTCCTTTGAAGTTCCACATGAATTTTAGGATATGTTTGTTCATTTCTGCAAGAAGACCCACTGGGATTTTGTGAGGGCCAGCCTCACATCTGTGTGCCGATGTGTCATTTTGGCAAGATGGAGTCTCCCATCCATGAGCAGCAGGGGTCTCTGTTGGTGCCCTTCAGCATCTACAGTTTTCCTGGTGCTGAGACAAAATAATTGACAGGAAGCAACTCAAGAGGAAGGGTTTGGCCTGACGCGGTAGCGCACACCTTTAATCCCAGCACTCGGGAGACAGAGGCAAACGGATCTCTGAGTTCAAGGCCAGCATGGTCTCCAGATCCAGTTCCAGGACAGTCAGGGCTACTCAAAGAAACCCTGTCTTGAAAAAAAAAAGGAAGCAACTTAAGAAGAAAGGGTTTATTCCAATTCACAGCTCATAGTTTGAGGGTGTAGCCTACTATTGGAAAGGCATAGCAGCAGGTGCACCAGGCAGCTGGCCATGTGGTATCCAGTCAGGAAGCAGAGAGAGATGACCGCCGGTGCCCAGCTTGCTTTCCTCTTTGTATTCAGTGAAGGACCCCAGCCCAGGAGGTGATGCTGCCCACATTTGGGATGAATCTTTCCACATGAACTAACTCAATCTAGAAACCCCCTCACCGACATGACCGGAGGTTTGTCTCCTGGGTGGCTCTAGATCTTGTGAAGTTGACAGTCTTGGAAGATAACTGTCTCCCCTACATCCCTCTCTTTCTCCCTGCCACACTCTGTGTGTGTGTGTGTGTGTGTTCACATGGGTGTATGATATATGTGTATTCTACCTCACCTGTTTTTTGAGGCAGTCTCTACTGAACGTGGAACTCATCACTGAGGCTAAGCTGGCTGTCCACTGAGCACCAGCAATCCCCCTTCCTTCAATATCCCAGCGCTAGAGTTGCGGGGACACATGGCCGGCCGTGACAGGATCTATGTTGGTGCTGACAATTCAAATTCAAACTCAGACAGGCACTGAATGACACCTCCACCTCCAGTCTTGGAAGATAGCTATCAAAAAACCAAAACCAAAACCAAAACCTAGACCCATAATCCCGGGATTTAGGAGGTAGGGGCAGAAAGATCAATGGTTCAAAGTCATCCTGGGGTATGGATAGAGTTTGAGGCCAGCCTGGGCTACAGGAGACTCTTTCTCAAAACAAAGTGGCTAGGAATCTTTTGGAACTTCATGCTGTGAATTCACAGGGTCAGATTTGAGATCCACAGGAAAGAGCTGTTTCCTATATAGACAGAAGAATGATTTCGGAAAAGCCGCACTGTTAATTGGGGTTAATCCCCGCATCTGTCCAGTGTCCTTTGGGCATGTGGACGCCAAGGAAGAGAATAGGAAGTATTTCTGAGCTATGTCCTAACCTGTCCCCCTCTCCTCTGTAGATGCCTTGGCTGGGACACCACTACTCAGAAATGGCCCTCCGTGGCCCAATCACATGTCAATGGCTTCTTCGAGCACCTAAGCACATTTTAGGGCCTTACTGGTTCCTCCTTGGTGAATTTAATTCTCTTCAACAACACAAGGTGGCAGAAAGCTCAGCTGCAGCAAGAGCCAGAGCGTCACAGTGAAGGAAGGAAGAGACCCAGGAAGAGAGGCGAGGACTAGGAGAGGGGCAGGAGGTATAGGTAGGTTACAGCTCCCTGGGGACAGTATGCCTGTCTTTGGTGGGTCTCAGATGCTGACAACAGGAGTGGCTCTGCCCTGAGTGAGTGGTTGACAGACTGTTCAGAAAGACTGCGCACAAAACCAACAGCCCAGTCGCTAAGGCATCTCTCTCTCTCCCCTGTCTCTCTCTCCAAAGTTACAACATCCTATCCAAGACAGCCCTCTGGGTGCCAGGATGTTTCACCCAGAAAACCACCCAGAGCATGAAGGAGGGCTCCTCAGACAGCTCTGGGACAAGATCTGCTGAGTCATTGTTGAAGGTTGCTATGGAGACAGAGAGAAGCCACGGTGCTGATGCAATGGGTAGCTGGGTTCAAGTCCCAGCCTAGTCATGTGCTTGACACCTGACCTTGACTTTGTACCCCATCTCTCCAGGCCTCAGTTTACTTTTCTGTCCAATGAAGATTGAATCAAATGACCCATCACTCTTCAACACCCCCCCCCCCGAAGTCTCACTTCCCTGAATGGGAATATTAAGGATGGGAGAGGCAGGGAGGAATGGAGGGATGCAAAACAAGATGGAGTGCTCCAGGATGGGTGGGAATGTCTGCCAGGCTGCAGCAGGACTGTTTTTGTTCTATTCTAATTGGTTAAGAGTTTTGTTTAAATTTTACTTTGGTTTTGGGATGTGTGCTTCTCTCCCACTTATGGGGATCCTCCATAATGCTCTGAGACTGATAATCTCTCAACTGTGTATTGTTCTGCCCACAGGGCCCTCCAGGAGGTCCTCAGCTACCTCCCCAGCCCACCCCCTGCAAGCCACAGTTGCCTCCTTGTTCTAGCTGGAGCCTTTTGCTCATGGTCCAGTCTTGGTGTGCTTGCCCTGCTGGCGTAACTCTTGGGAGTGGGGGGGGGCTGCCTCAGAGCATCTTTGCCTTCCCCAGGCATCGATTACTCACCCCTTACTTATTCCAGGATACCCTGGAAATCCAGCAACTTTGCTGACCCCTCCAAGTCTTGTCCTTGTCTCAATTGAGCCATATGATTGAAGTTGAACAAAGCGGGAAGTAGGAGAAAGAAGGCCAGTCCCATGAATTACTATTTCAAGCAGATAAAGGGCAGGGTTTGGTGGCACACATCTGTAATCCTGTAACTTCTACGGCAAGTTGGGAGGGAGAGACAGGAGGATCGGCCAGAAGTTCCCAAGCCAGCTGGCCTGGAGGTCACAGCACAGCAGGAGAAATAAGGGAGACCCTGCCTCATCACGGTAGAGAACTTAAAAGATGTCATCTGACCTCCACACCCATCCCTACAGTCACACACACACACACACACACACACGTACGTACGCACGCACGCACACCAATAGGCACACATAGAGAGATAGAGAGTAAAGGAGTCAAGCCCTCCTTCCCCTCTACTCTCTGCTCCCTCCTCCCTGGTGGTCATCTGGGTCCCAGAGGACAAGAGGGAGAAAACATCCCGACCCTGGCCTGTCCATGCACCTGAGAATCCTGAAACCACAGCTCACCCAGGTTCCGGGGAACTCGGTGCCCCTGGGAGTCTGTGCCACTCAGGGTCCGTGAGACAATAGTTGTGACCAGTGTTGGGGCTCCTAGGGTGTCTTCAGCTTTCCTTAGCCTAAAGCCCACAGGGACAGGACGGAGCATTTTCATTCTCTCGTGCTCCTGTCCTGCCCTGTCCCTGTCATATTGATCTTTTTCTTTCAAACGCCAGAGAGGCAGGACTGCCACCCCTAAACACTGATCTCGGATGGTTCTGCCACATTCTTGGGGGACTGGCAGACCACAGAGGAGAGAAATACGGATGCTTACGGGATGGGTCCCAGGCAGCAAGCTTAACCAGGGCACATGTGCACAGGCACGGCGCAGCATGAATGTGGAAGTCAGAGGACAATTTCCTGACGTTGGATCTCACCTTCCACCATGCTAGGCTGAGGGATCAAACTCAGGTCACTCGGCTCGGTGGCAAGCCCCTTTACAGGCTAAGCCATCTTGCCAGCCCCGCTTTATTTTTCGGAGGCAAGGTCTCTCATTGAATATAGAGCTTGCCATTTTGGCTAGCCTGCCTGATTAGAGAGCTCCCGAGTGCCTCCCGTCTCCTGTCTCCAGCTCTCTGGTTGTAGGTGTGCCACCATGCCCCACATTTATGTGGGTGCTGGGTCCTTGTGTTTGTGCAGCAAGCACTTAGCCATTGCCATTGCCACAGCCCCTTCGTTTGTTCCTCGTAGCTAATGCTGAAGCTGAGCTGGCAAAAAACCGATTTTGTCAAATTGGCAAGAGCACGTGGGCTACCTGCCAGCACTGATGGTCTCTCTCCTAGTTTTATCTTTTGTTGTTTGAATGCAATGGAACCCAGGGCACACCTCCAGCTGCACGTGTCCCTTCCCGTTGATGTGCTTTAGCTGTGGGCTGGGAGGTGACATCCAGACCCAGGTTATAGGGTCCCCACCAGCATCGCATCTAGTGGCCCCATCCAGTGACAGCTACTCCTAGATCATTACGTCACCAGAGCTTAAAAAATGGTGATGTTTCTGATTTTACATTCCTTCCAGCACTGAGCGAATCAGATTTTCCTGCAAAAATAATTAATATGTTTTCCTTCTTAGTTATGGCCACTTACTTATCTTGACATGATTGCACAGGTGAACTTGGGCTTAATTATTTTTTGTTCATAATCACTAATTGCCAATTTTCTGAGAAAGGGCTGGCATCCTAGTTCCAGCAATAGCCAATGATGGCATGCTCCCTGGTCACGGTGAATCCTCTCTTACTCGGCTCCCCATGACGTTAAGTCACCTACAACGGTGTTGAGAGGACACTGGTGGGAGAGAATGAGGGGTTTCTTCTGTCACCTTTGAGTCTCAGCACTGTGCTCTTTGTGGGTTGCACACATGACCCCATTCGGGATTCATAATTTATCAGGGTAGGGAAGAAAGGATGTGCTCAAGGCCACTGTTTATTATCAAGCATGAAAATGAACAACCACAGGAAAGGCCTGTGGATGGAGGGAAGAGAGGGGCAAAGAGTCAGCCAAGCACTCAGAGCTAGCTGGGGCTGGTGGGAAGGAAGGGCAAGGGAGGGGCTGAACTTCGGTGACACAGGGTTGAGTCCGCAGCTGAAGAGAGATGTGTAGAGAAGGAGACGGAGAAAACACACAGAACCGGGACACGGCATGCTGCTTGGGGGCGCGTGTCTCTGAAGGTCAGTCGCACAGAGGGGTGTCCATAATGTGAGACCCCAGGGTGGGGGCGGGGGAGCAGATCTGAAGTCTTGATTTCAAGCAGAGTCATCTGGAAGAGCAGGAGAGAGAAGTAGGACCCGCCGGGGAGCACTGCAGCCGGGGAGCACTGCAGCCGGGGAGCACTGCAGCCGGGGAGGATTGATACCAGCTCCCTTTTGTAACATAGACTGAGTCTTTAAATCAATTGTCAGACAACTCTAGAAGCTTCTTCCAGCAATTTCATTCCAGAGCTGGATTCCAACTGGTCTGCCCTCACCCACAGTGGGGTAGATCTGAGCTCCACAGCTTCCTGGGGTCTGCACTACCTGAGGAGAGAAAAAGGGGTGGGGTGGGGGGTTAAAGAAGGGTGTGGTGGTGCATGCCTTTATTCCCAGCACAGACAGGCGGATCTCTGTGAGTTCGAGGCCTACATAGCGAGCTCCAGGTCAGTCAGGGCTACACAGTGAGAACCTCTCTCCAGAGAAGAATCTGGAGAGCATACTTGGGAAACTGACCAGAGACACTTAGACACAACAACAAACTGACAGCTTGCTGACGTGGGTGGGCGGGTGAAGGCAGGGACACATCCCTGAGGTACGGGTCTCACCTGGGACCAACTTTCTCTCACCAGAAGACTTGACACAATGTCTCAGGTTCCAACCTGGAGATACCTAGATGAGTCTGGGGACAGTGTTCAGCCCTCTCAACTTATCCTCAGATGTCAACAGTGCCAAGAAGGGACAGAAGGAAGAATAAAATGCTCCTGCCTGTGGTAGGGTAGCCTGGAGGGCTGTGCCTGGTGTGTCTTGGGTGGAGGAGAAGGGAGCTCTAACCCTTCAGAGACACACCGTTACCCATTGCATGGTAGCTACTTTCAAAGTCACAAGTGGCCATGTGACAATTCTAGGTTTTTAAAAGTGTGAGAATTGGTCAATGAAGCTTGCAATATACTTATTACGTGCCCTCTTTTTTTCTATTTTTTGTTTTTCTCTCTGTGTGTTACATGCATGTGTGTGCATGTTTGCATGTGTGTTCATGCATATGTCATTTGCATGTTTTTGTGTGCATGCATACATATGTCTACATGTATAAGGCCACAGGGTGCTGTGAGGACTCATCCTCTGTAACCATTCCACCTTATTTATTGAGGCAGGCTCTGGTGATCAAACCCAGAGCTAGCCGATATAGTTAGCTTTGCTAGTTGACTTGCTCTGGGGATTCGGTTGACTCAGCCTTTCAAGGCTGGAATCACTGGCAGGTTACCACACCCGCCCTGCATTTATGTGGGTCCTGGGGAACTGAACTCTGCTGAACCATTTCCCCAGATTCCCCACCCCCCACTCTGCCTCAGGATCCCAACTCTCTGTTATCTGTTTTTTCCCCATCTTCCTGCGTGAGGAAGCTTCACTGTTCATGCACCCCACTGGGGGTTCAGGGCTACATGTGCTAAAATCAACCAAAGAGGATAGTCTCAAAGGTAAGCACCAGAGAGAGTGGTGTCCCTACTTCCAGGGGACAACTGACAGTGTCTGCAGGCAGTTTGAGAGTGGTGTTGGCATGAAGGCACCAATGGGGAAGAAGACACTGCCTAGACAAAGGACAGGACAGGATAGTCTTGCTGCAAGATTCCTCCTGGAGAGACCAGTTCCCACTATGTCACCTGTCTCTGGGTTTCTGGGTACCTGGAGCAGGGGAGATGACTGGCTGAACCCCTGGAGTCCAGTTTTCAATTCTTTGGGGTGCTCAGTAATTCCAAATCACTACAGCAAGAAAGCCCTTTGATTGGATTTGTGGCGGCCACCCACTTTCTTCAGGGCACTCTTACTGGCACTTTCCATGGCTGTACACTTTGTCCCAGTTCCGAGTCAAAACAGGGGGAGGATAGCCACTTCTTCGCCTCTTCAGCTAGAAGATGCCAACACCAGCGGTCACCGCCTCCCACATCGCCTGTGGGATCGGCTGGATCCAGGACCACAGGCCTGAAGGAGAGTTAGAAACTATGAAAGTGTTGTTTGTTTTCAAGACCTCCGGCCTCAGCATTGGGGGTTGGTCCTATTTGAATCAGTGACACAAAGTATCCTGCCGGCTTAGGTCAAGCAATTTGAATCTACTTCAGAGTCACAAGTAACTTCCTAGAATTGTTGTATTTGAAAGCCAAAGACCCTTCCCAAAGCTGTTATTTACCTCGAACAGTGAACCGGGGTGATGACCTCTTTCAAGAGACTCACCCAACTACAAGGTGTCACAGTACTGTGTTGCTAAGTAGGTCAGCACCGGTGGGGGTGGGGTGGAGGATGTGTTTGTGTGTGTGTGTCTGTCTGTCTAGAGCACCTGTTCATCAAGCTCCTGTTTCTTCCCTTTGTTCTTTTTTTCCCCTCTCCCTTCCCCCCTTTCTTCCACCATCTTTGTTCCATGTTCATAGTATTGAGTGTACAGTCTGAGGACCCTCCCCCTTGCTTAATGTTTTCGAGACAAGATCTTGCTACATAGACAAGGCTATCCTCTAATTCAAGATCTTGTTATGTAGACAAGGCTATCCTCTAAGATAGCCTTAAGATCCTCCTGACTGGGCAGTAGAGGTGCATGCCTTTAATCCCAGCACTCGGGAGGCAAGAGGCAGGCAGATCTCTGTGAATTTGAGACCAGCCTGGTCTACATAGTGAGTTCTACAGGCTGTGCAGAGAGAGGTCATGTCTTAGAAAAACCTAAAAATAAAGTATCTTCCAGCTTTCGACCTCTGAAATGTTGGAACTGTGGCAGGTACCATCCTGTCTGGCTTCCTTATTATTCTTTTAGTTCTGAAAGAGAAAACCAGATCTGATAAAGATGCAAATAATAGGGGCTACCTAAAGGGTAAAAGGAGCTTGCTGCTAAGTCTGCCGATCTGAGTTTGATCCTCTTGGGCCCACAGAGTGGTAGGAGAGAACTGATTCCCAAAAGTTGGCCTCTGACTTGCTGTGGTGTGCACACATGGGCCTGGGAATGGGGACGCTGTTCCTCAGGAATATGCTGTTACCTAAGACCCCTCTCAGGTCGGCTAGCGCACAAATTCACATTTACACATAGCAGAACAATTAAAAGGCAGTGCAGGCATCCATCCCCTGCCTGTCCTCTGCTTCTGTATCCTTCCTGGTCGGCCAGCCCTTCCCACTCCTGCTTGGCAAACCCCTCCCCCTTCTGATTGGTAAGTCCCTCCCACTCCTGAGGTTGGGTTTTCTCCCTGGCAGTTTCTCTCTCAGTTTCACACTGGGAATGAACAAGACCCTGGGGAGAAGAATCCAGGTCATGGAAGAAATAGCACAGAAGGGAATTGGGTTAATTCAGAACAGGGTGGGAGGCTGGGGCACAGGCACCTCTTTTTCTGGATCTGGGTCAGTAGGAACGACCTCATCGGCTCATCTTTGAAGTTATAGTTGACTGTCCAGAAGATGCAGAGCTGCTGGTATTTGATGACCAGGTCCAGGGCCGTCCGGAAGCCTTCGGCAGTGTTGAAGTCCTCCATACCACTGCCCTGCTCCCAGGCATACACACTGAGAAGCTCCAGGGCGTACTTTGGGGGCAAAGATACTTTTGACTTCATTTGGCTTCCACACGGATGGGGAGAGTAGAGATGTTTCATTTTCCTTTCACACTGATGGGGGGAGTAGCAATGTCAGGTAACTTGGTGAGACAAGGGGGGACAGGGTGCCTCATGGACTGCTTGGGTCGCAGCAGGGCAACAGGGTTATGAAATAGAACTTGAAAGAGGGAGATCCTGAGTCCTAGGTAGGTTTGCTAGACTCAGCAACAGGCAGAGTGGCACCCACTGTGCCTTGTGTTTGGACAAGGCTGACTGGGGGTAGGGCTTGAGGGAGTCATGTGACTTGCTGAAATTCAAACCAGAGCTCCCCAGCGCCCTAGGCCTCAGCTACCCATGATGACTCCAGTTTCAGCAGCCACAGCTTCATCTTGCCTTCTGAGAGACAACATGGTGCCTATACAGCTGTACTGACAGCCCGAGGCACACAACCTTAACTTTCATCCGTGCTTCTCAGGAGAACTTGGCTGCTACTGAATTCATTGGCCAGCGTGAGAATAAGCCACACATTGCTCTGATGCTAGGAGGCCCTATAGGTCTGACCCAAATATCACGAGTAGCGGAATGCAATCAGAAGACCCATGACTTCATGAGCAACAGCTTCCCTAGAGAGGCCCAGCCCCTAGCATGGGAGGATTTGGGTGTTCAGGACACTTGGCAAAATCTGTGTCCTAGCTTGCTGGTAAAAACAACAACCATATTGGCCATAGCAGGGGCTGGCTGACCTGTTTGTACCAGTGCTTCACCAGGCGAATCAGATTCTTCAGTTTGGGGGGCCGGGGTTCAATGAAGTTGCGCTGTAGCTCTGTAAAGCAGGTCGAAAACTCTCCTCCGGAGATGTCCGATGATCTATACAACTCAATGAGCTCCTTGTAGGCTTTAGGTCTGGAGTTGCAGCCAGAATGCAGTTGACCTAACATGGGAACAAAGTGTCCATTAGATTCTAATGTGGATGGTAAACAACATAGTAAAAAATTTTTTTTTGGAGACAGGATTTCATGTAGCCCAGGTTGGCACTGAAACTTGCTATGTAGCCAAAGATGATCTTGAATTTCTGATCCTCCTGCCTTCACCTTCCAAGTGTCGAGATTACAGGTGTATACCACCATGCCCAGTTCATGCACTACAGGGGTTGAACCCAGATCTTGGGCATGTCAGGCAATCTCTTTACCAACGAATCTGTGTCCACAGACCTCAAACGTGTGGTTTCTCAAAAACCTTATTAGTTATTCATTTATTTGTTTTTTTTTTTTTGAGATGGGGTTTCTCTGTGTAATGGCCTTGGCTGTCCTGGAACTCACTCTCCACCTCCAGCTTATAGAGATCCACCAGCCTCTGCCTCCCAAGTGCTGGGATTAAGGTGTGCAACACCACTGCCCAGCTAGGCCAGTGTTTTGTCACAGCAACAGAAGACAGACTAGAACAGAGAAACAAAAGTGGGCTGAATCCCATTCTGTATACTCTTGTCTCTTTTCTGAGCGAACTCAAAGCAGATGTTTTTTGTTTGCAGTCGGGGAGGGCTGTGACAAACCCAGGGTCCTGAGCTAGGCAAGTACTCTGCCTCTGAGCTTTAGCCCCAGCTCCTTCCCCAAGTAATGGGTAAGGGTTTTATTTGCTTTGCCTTGTGGTGGTGACATCGGACACAGAGCCTTGCACATTCTAAGCAAAGGTTTTATCCTTGATTACACCTGGTCCCCAAGAACCACTAGGTGGAAGATAATAGAGTCTTCATAATTCTAATATAGGAGATACACACACACACACACACACAGTAGTAGCTTGGCCTCTGTAGGTGCATGTGTGTGTGAGTGTGTGAGAGAGACAGAGACAGAAAGAGAGAGAGAGATAGAGAGAGAGAGAGAGAGAGAGAGAGAGAGAGAGAGAGAGAGAGAGAGAGAGAGAGAGAGAGGAGGGGCAGCCCACTGCAGGTGGCACCATTCCCTTGTCTTGTGGTCCTGGACTGAATAAGAAAGCCACCTAAACATAAGCCTATGGGTGAGGCAGCAAGCAGCGCTCCCCCATGGTTTCTGCTTCCAGTTCCTGCCTTGAGTTTCTGCCCTGATGCTTCCCTCCATGATGGACTGAGATCTGAACGCATAAGCCAAGCAAACCCTTTCCCCCTCTAAGCTGCCTTGTAAATGTGGATCCATGTGCCTGTCTTTGCACACCCACACGAGGCCTGAGGGGTGCTGGGTGTCCTCCTGTGTCATCACAGGCTCTCCCACTGAACCTGTCTGATTCAGTTAGACCCTTTCCCTCTCCACCCACACCCCATCCCCAGGCAGCACTGGGGTGACAGGTGCACCTGTAGCAGAGCCTGGCTTTTTACACAGGTGCTGGGGATAAAATCAGGCCTCCACGACTGAATGGTGAACACTCTTACAACATAGCCAACTCCCCAGCCTACTTAGAAGCCTTTCATTCGTCTGTATTTCTGTATCTCTCACCTGTGCATGGGATTTCTGAGGAGGAATTTTCTACACCCAATTTCCTGTCTCTTATCTCACAAAACCCACTATGTTCTGTTCTTTAATTCCCTTCTTCACAGAGGAAATGAAGGGATGCTATCTATGATATGCTTGTAACTGTAGGCGCCATCCCCGACACACCATAGAGACCAGAGCGGACAGCTCCTAGAGGCTGTCTGGACTGCTTACCTGAGAATGGAATTAATTGCACCCCCACCCCGCCCTAGCGCTCCCTCTGCTCTTTGTAGGATCTTATCAGGAGCTAGGGCCTGTGCATTCTCACCTAGTGCATCATAGGCCGGCAGGACATCGAACTCGACACTCTCCTTCAGACTCCTGGATTTCAGGGTGAAGCTCAGCACCCTGGGGGCCTTCCACTTGGAAACCTCAAACTCCACCTCCAGCTCCTGGATCTGCTGGAAGGCTTCTAATTGCCTCCGGATCTCTTGGATGAACTGTGGGCGCTCCTGTTTTTGGGATTCGTAGCTCTTCAGCGAGCTAAGGAACACGACGATGTCAGCATCTGATCCATACTTCAGAGCCGTGCCTTTGGTGGTGGATCCTCCCTAGTGGGCAAAGAGAAGATGAGAGGCTGCCTTCCGTCACTCTCGTCACCCTCGTCACCCTCGTCTCCCTCGTCACCCTCCTCTCCCGGGCTCCCAAGAGCTGGAACGGACGAAGGGCCAGCGCTCACCTTGACGGACTTCAGAACTTTGGTGCTTGAATGTCGGAAGCAGTTCTCTTTAAGGAATGCACAGATGATGTCAACAGCCTTTTTGATCTGCTTCAAGAACGTTTCGTTGGGCTGTAGGAAGTCTTTGATGAACGTGTCCAGTAAGTGGCTTGGGGTGATGAAGAGTGGTGTGGGCTGGGGAGGAGAGAAACTTGGTGGGCTCTGCCCAGAAGCTAACACAAAACTCACTTCTGTCCTTTTGCCAGCCTGCTTCCAAACGGCGGGCAGAGACCTTCCTGTCAGAGACCTTCCTGTCTTGCACAAATATATTCTAAAAATGTTCTTGAGATGCAATACCTACCCCTTCACCCTCCTCTCACCAAGCAGAAACTCTCCTGGTTTCTTATGGGTTACTCGGGAGAGACCTGGATCCTTCTAAGGAGCTTGGGGGGGGGGAGGTGCCCTGGGCCAGCATGAGGAGGTCCCCAAGGACCTTCCAAGAGGCAGGTGTGAGGGTCAAACTTGAACAAGGAGATGTGAGCTCAGATGCAGAGAGGAGGGGGCTGGAGGGTGTTGGGCTAATGGCTTTGAAGATGGACGAAGGAAGCAGGGCACATGACAGTCTCAAGAAGCTTGAAAAGGGAATGAGGCCTCAGGTGTTACCACCCCAGCTCTGTGAGACTGCACTGGATAGCCCACTGCTGTAGACATAAGCTTATAGATTTAGAGTACACTTTTTTTTTCCCGAGACGGCTTCTCTGTATTTGTTTTGGAGTCTGTCCTGGAACTTGCTCGGTAGACCAGGCTTGGTCTCGAACTCACAGAGATCCATCTGCCACTGCCTCCCGAATGCTGGGATTAAAGGTGTACGCCACCAACACCCGGCTAGAGTACACTTTTTAAACAGGGAAGAAGATGAGAAGTCTAAGTAGATAAGTTTGCTGGAGAGCATTGGCATGGAGCAGTGCAGCCGCCTGGGGACAAGAGGGGGTGCCTAGTTCTGCAGTCCAGCTGATCTTGGTGCCCTTAGATGTTGTGACCCTTAGCACCCCCTTTGAAAGTGGCAGCATCCTCAGTCCTCCCTCTCCTACAGCTCAGATGTTGTGTAGGGTGGGCATGCGCACATGAGTGTACATGTGCCATGTGTGTGTGTGAACACGTAGCGTATGCAAGTGTACACACAGGAACGCACACACATGCAAGGCTGTACGTGAATATTCAAGAGTGTGAGTGTTCTGTTTGCATGTGTGTGTGCACTGTGCACACAAATGAGTGTGCATGCAAATGTGAGCATATGCATCAGTGAATACATAAGTGTGCTCACAAGTGTCAGCTCCAGGTGCAAAGACAAATGTTTATATGCGCATGTGCATGTTTACATGGGAGTATATGTGTACACATGTACAAGTATATGTGCCTGAAATGCTCATTCCTGCTTGTGTGTTGGTCCCTGGGCCTGGACCGAAGCAGCTGTCAAGAGAGGGATGATGTCACGGTCTGGAAGGACAGGCTAGTGAGAGAACAGCACAGAGATCAAAAGGTATGGTAGGGACTAGAGAGTGTCTCATCGGTTAAGTGTACTGCCTGTTCTGTCAGAGGACTCAGGTCCAAATTCCAGCAGGTGGTGGCTCACACTCCAGTTCCAGGGGATCTAACACCCTCTTCTGGCCTCTGTGGATATTATACACAGGTGACATAACATACATCCAGGCAAAGACTTGTACACACACACACACACACACACACACACTGCGCGAGAGAGACATGGTTTCTCTGTGTAACCATCCTGGCTGTCCTGGAATTCATAGAGGTCCTCTTGCCTCTACCTCCTGAATGCTGGGATTAAAGGCATGTGCCCTCACTGCCCAACATAAAAACATTTTTAAAAGATGGGGTAGGAGAGACATGAGAGCTGAACATATCATGTGCCTGTGTGTTAGAAAGAGAGCTAGGGAGGATCTTGGGATGACTATCAGAACATGAAGATGGTGTGCTTTAAGCCACACTGAGTGTGTGACCGTGTTACAGTAGCCACACAGGCAGCTGAGACACGCTCTCTAGGTCAGTGTCCTGGAAACTCTCTTACCAGAACATTCCAACATGGTGCAGGTGACACATCATTCCTCCTGAGAGAGCACAGCCAGTCCTGGGCCTCCTCTGTCAGCATCTGCCAGGACCCGTCGTCTTTGCCCACGTTATTGGTTGGGTCAGCTGGATCCAAGATGACAGGTCTAGGAATTTTATCAGAAATTGGGGCTGGGCTTATTAGCACTCATCTTTAATCTCAGCACTTGGGAGACAGAAGCAGGTGGATCTCTGTGAGTTCAAGGTCAGCCTGGTCTACATAGTGAGTTCCAGGCCAGTCAGGGCTGTACAGTGAGATCCTGTCCCATGCTCCCACCCACATCCCCAGCAAAAAAGAAGGCATGGGAAGATAGCTTAGAAACTAAGAGTGCTTATAAGTGCTAAGTTATAAGGGCCAGAGTTCAGGGCACAACATGGGTGTCCTGAACACGACTTCAACCCCCGATCTAAGGGGAGAGAGATGGGGATCTCTGGGGCTTGCTGACTTCCAGCCTAGTTGAGAAAGCCAGAGCCCAGATTGAAGAAGGGGCCCTGCCTCAGAGGAATAGGCAGAGGACACACCATATCCTCTTCTGGCCTCTATGTGCAAAGAGGTGCACACCCACACAGATGTGTGTGCATGTACACACTCACACAGACACACAAACTTTAGTAAAATGAAGTTGGGCTGGGGAATGGGTCAGTGGGTAAAACGCCTACCTCACAAACAGGCCCTGAATTGGGCATCCCCAAGAATCATATAAAAAACAGATGCTGTGTCCTAGGGTTCACTGACCAGCCAGTCTAATCTATTGGTGAACATCAGTGAGAGACCCTGACTCAATAAATAAGGTAGAAGGGCTGGGGAGATCCCTCAGAAGTTAAGAGCACTGGTACTCTTGCAGAGGACCTGGGTTCAAGTCCCAATACCCACAAACATGTGTAACTACAGTCTGACCCCCCCTCTCCTGGTCTTCATAGGCATTGCATGCATGTGGTTCACAGACATACCCACAGGGAAAACACACACACACACACATAAAAATACATGAATCTTTAAAGCAGAGAGTGAGACACCTGATGCCAACTTCTGACTTCCACATGCATTTGTATACACATACATGTGCGGTACACACACACACACACACACACACACACACACACACACACACGCGCGCGCGTGCGCGCGCGCGGGATGCTGCTGAGAGCTCTGCAGTATTCATCTACACTGACTCCTCATCCTTCTCTTCTTAGAGATGTTAGGTCTCACTGTTCCTTGCTGTGAAGTCCTTCCCTTCCTCCAGCCCCTTCTTCCAGGCTTTAGGGGACAAAGCTGACCATGGTTTGGGACGTGAATGCATTGATTGAATCTCCTTTGCAGATTCAGATCCTCCCCCCTACCCAGACCCTCAGTACCTTTGGGTCCTGAGTTGGCACAGAAGGGTGTTGCGGACTGTCTCATTCTCAAAGTTGTAATTGACTGTCCAGTAGACACACAGCTTTGAAGACTGCCTAATGAGTCCCAGCACAGTCCTGATGCCTTCTGCGATGTCAAAGTCCTCAGCTTGGCAGCCCTGTTCCCAGGCGTACACAGTGAGCAGCTCCAGCGCATACAACAACCGCAGAGATGGGGAGGCCATCCACTTCTTCTGGCACTGTGAAAAATGACAAGAGTCTAGAAGGTGTCACCATACTCCATGCCTGGAAGTCAAGGTGCAAGTACCATCAGATACTGATATGAAGGCGTGACAGGAACACCTGCAACACTCACCCTGCTCACAGGGGTGTGCGTGAGTGTGTGTGTGAGCATGTGAATGTGTGGCACTGTATGTGAGCACGGGTGCGGGTGTATGTGTTGTGGGTGTGTGTAGATGTGTGTGTGAGTATGTGTGATTGTGAATGTGGGTGTCCGTAGGTGTATGAACGTGTGAGATGAACATATGTGACTGTGTGTGTGAGTGTGGGTGTACATGAATGTGCTAATGTGAATGTATGTGCCTTGTGTGAGTGAATATGTAAGTGCGGAAGTGTGCAAGTGTGTTTGTGAAGGTGTGTGCCAGTGTGTGAATGTATGTGTGTGCGTGTATGTGTGTGTTGTATTTGTGAATGTGTGTGTGAGTAGGCTGGAGGTCAAGGCCAGGTATCTCCCTCAGTCATTCTACCCTATTTTTTGGAACCGGACCTCTCACTGAACCTGGGGTTCACTGATTGGCTTCAGTGGCTGGCCAGTGAGTGCAGGAGATCCGCCTGTGTCTGCCTCCTGAACACGGAGTTACAGGCGCAGGCTGCCACCCCTGGCTTTACACGGGTAGCGGGGGTCTTCAGTGCTTGTACAGTGTGTGCTTTTCTACTGAGCCTTCTCTCCAGCCCCAGCATAGTGGTTTTAAAAAATCCATTTGACACTCTTTGTTAAAGCTAAATAAATACTCTCTACTATATGTCATATGGAGTTCACTTATGCAAATATAGAGACAAATATACATGCTGTCTGGGGCCGTGTCTGAGACTCCAAGATTCTACTGCACATTTACCCAAGAAAAAGGAGGACTTACATTGACAAAAGACACATCAGAGGACACCCAAGTAACAGTAACCCAAGTCACAACCTGGAAAGACCCAAAGGCCCAAAAGCAGCAGACAGATAGAACATGGGTTTATTACTATAATGGAATAGTACACAGGAATGAAAAACCATTGTTATGTAGTGATGTGGCTGGATTTCCTGAACATGAAGTTAAATAAGGAAGCTACCACCGGTGTGCAATATGATCCACTATAGTATTTGAAAATAAGGGGCCGGGCATTGGTGGCACACGCCTTTAATCTCAGCACTCGGGAGGCAGAGGCAGGCGGATCTCTGTGAGTTCGAGACCAGCCTGGACTACCAAGTGAGTTCCAGGACAGCCTCCAAAGCCACAGAGAAACCCTGTCTCGAAAAACCAAAAAAAAAAAAAAAAATAAGGGAGGGCTGGCAAGAGGGTTCAGTGAGGAAAGGTGCTTGCCACTAAACCTGTTGAATTGAGTTCAAGCCCCGGAACTTAGGTTGAGAAAATACTCTACTTTGGTTTGTGGCTGAAGAGGAGATCAAATTAGACAGAAGTATGTTGTTATTATTGTTGGAATTCGCTTGCTGTGAATGATCTCAATCAGTGTGGTGTGGTGGCACGTGGCTTTGGTCCCAACACTGGGTAGGTAGAGGCAGCCTGTGAGTGTGAGGTCAACCTGGTCTACATAGTGAGTTCTGGGCCAGCCCAAGACCCTCTTCAAACAAGGCAACAACACAAATTACCTCTTGATACCAGTGCTTGACCAACAGGATCAAATCCTTCACTCTCCTGGGATATCCCTTGAAGAACCGCTCCTGTAGTGAGGTGAAGCAGACGGCAAACTCACCGGGCGCTGCTCGTACTTGATCCATAGAACTTCTGAGATTCCGATAGACCTGGGGGCTGGGATACTCACCGAAGCCTGATGGGAGAGAGCAGTGGGAAGCTGACTGCATGCCTTTTATGCAATGATATAACATGAAAGTCTTATAAACCTCTTATGGGACACAACTACCAAAGTTAATTATCTAAGAGAGAAACACCCTGAAGTCAAATAGGCTGAAGTCAGTTTGGGGTTAAAGGTTCTGGGGAAAGAAACTATGGTAACATGTTTCTACCTGACCTGGTAGAGACAGGTAGACCAGGTTAGTTGGGCTTTTGTATAGTAAAGAAAGCTATTTATGAATTCCCCTGTAGGGTCTTATTTTCTCAGAAAGGCAGCATTTATTGCTTCCTTGAAACAAGTCATTGATTTGGAAGATTCAGCTCTATCGCCACCTGTTGGTAGCACCTGGGTACTACATGTGAAGAGTTCCTTTCTCTGGCCACCTCCCTTGACAGCAGAGGTGGGCTGGTCTCCCATTACCAGGTCCTGGGCACCAGAGAGAACCCAGCATTTCCTGCAGCGATGGAACCTCACCACTCTTTTGAGGCAGGTACACCACCACGACCAAACAAAGCTGGAAGCTAGTTGCTCTGATCGTGGTGACAAAGGGACTCATGGGGTCATGTATCAGTTACTTTTCTGGCTGCTGGGAGGGGAAATCTGACAGAGACAACCGAAAGGGAAAGGGTTTTTTGGCTCACTGCTTGAGGGCACAACCATCACGCCGGGGAACATGACGCTGAACTCTCCCTCCTTGGACCAGGACACAGATTGGAAGTGGGATTGGAGGCGAGATTGGAGGCAGGGTGGGGTTACCACCCTCCAGGCTCATTTCCCAGGACCCACTTCCTCTGGTGAGGTGCCCCTCTCCCACAGGCTCCACACCCTCCCAAATCAGCTGGGCCCAAGCGATGAAACCTATTTCACCTTCAACCCTAACAGACGAGAAGGACCCATGCACGGGTGGCACGTTCTCTAACCCAGGCCACCTTCCTGCGAATGCTGTCACGTGGGCGTGTGTACATCTTCATCTTGTCAGAAAATGGTCAGGTGGTGGGCATTTAAGGTCTCAGTAACCCAGAAGTTCCTCAGAATTGTGGACGATGGAGGCACCTTAGCCTCCAGCTCAGAAGTCCTGGACTGTCAGACTCATTGAGTCCACCACTCATTGACAGCATGACCACCACACAGTCCTGTCCTTCTGTTTTCCCATCCATCTATCTGTCCATCCATCCACCCACCTATACAACCTCACTTCCATCCATCCACCTACACATATATCCACGTATCAGTTCATTTTCCATCTGTCCACACATTCATGTCCATGCATCCACACACACCCATTCATCCACACACGCATCAATCCATTTTCCATCTGTCTACCCATCCATCCATCCACACATCCATTTCCCCATCTCTCTATACATCCACACACCCATCCATCCATCCATCCATCCACACACCCATCTGTTTCCCCATCTCTACACACACCCACACAGCCACCCACACATCCTCATACACATACACAGAATCTCCCACATCCATCCATCTACCCATCCCTACATTGAGTGAGCACCCAGCCATCCATTTCCATCCACCTGCTCACTTTCTTTCCTGCGATTTATCCGTCCACCCTTCATACATCCACTCACCCACTCACCTATACAAGCTCCACTTTAGAGTCAAGCAAGAGTCTAGCACATTCTATCCAAAGTAAATGAGATGAGAATGAAGTTCTAGATGGAGTATGCCCAGGGTAGGGGGCTCTTCTCTCTTGGGGGTTTTGGTGGTGAGCCCTAGAGGCTCATATGTTTTTGCATGCATGCTTAGTCGCCAGTTGAATTGTTTGGGAAGGATTAGGAGGTGTGCCCTTGTCAGAAGTCATCCTTGCTGGGGATGGGATTTGAGGTTTCAAAAGCTCACACCTGGCCCAGTGACTTTCTTCCTGCTGCCTATGGATCAGGATACAGAGCTCTCAGCTATTGCTCCTGTGCTATGCCTGTCTGCTTCCTACCATGATGGTAAGGGACTAGCCCTCTGAGCCTGTAAGCAAGCACCAATAAAATGCCTCCTTTCATAAGAGCTGCCTTGCTCATGATGCCTCTTCACAGCAATGGAACAGTGACTCCAACGGGGTGTACGAGCCCCATTTTGGAAATAGCCAGTCTGTCTGTCACAGCCTCAGCCTGTAGGACTCAAGTGGCTCCCCCAGTACTCCTGGAAAGTTTGGGGGCCCCCCTACATCCCAGAGCACTCACACAGAGGATCAAAGGCTGGAAGTAGCTGCAAGCAGATCCCCTGCCCTTGTACGGACAGCTGGACTTCAAGGGTGTTCCCAAGCTTTTCTGGCTTATTGTACTTCTCATGGTGTTTCAGCCGTTGCTCAATCAAGTGGACGAGTAGATCTTGTTTTGTCTTCTGATCCGAAAACTTACGGAAGGAATTGGTGAAGAGAACAAGGGTGCCGTCAGAGTAGCCTCTTAGGACTGTTCCTCGGCCATAAGAACCACCCTGCAGAGAATGAAGCATTGGATGTGAGGTCTGGAATTCCTGTAGCTCCAGGCAGGGATATTTCTCAAGTCCAGTGAAATCCCCAAATGTCCCCGTCGTTTTAAAATCAGGCTGCCGGCACTAATTTTGCGTTGGCGTCAGTGTTTTGTACGCTGGCTCCCAACTGGAGGCAACTCAAAACTGCAATATGGCGAACACGTGACACGGTGGAGCACCGTACGAGAATGAGAAACGTTGAACGAACAAAACTCTCACAAATGTGGAGCCAAAGCTGCCACACGGTGAATCTCACGTGCACGGAACCCGTTCCCACTGCCTTCCCGAGGACCCATGCTAAGAACACTGTGAGCCTCACCATTACAGCACTCTGAAGAAGGGTCTAGGCTGAGCTCATTCTGCAGACCCAGAGGGATGGTAAAGAGAGATGAAGCAGCCTGCTAGGGTCATACAGCCAGGCAGAAGATGACCTGGTTGTAGCGTGGGCCCCTGCGCTGTCGGCCTTTGCAACCTTAGAGGGAGAAAAGTCGTGTGGAGTACACACCACCATAGCGGGGGAGGGGGGGTAGGGTAGGGGGTGTTGGGGGAGAGCGAACTCTCCTGGGATCCAAAGCCCTGGCCCCAAACCTGGGCCTCACCTTAGCCACTCTCACCACAGGGATCTCAGGGCTCCGCAGGAAGTTAGAGATGGCATCCACGTCCTGGTCTATCAGCTTCAGACATTCTTCGTTGGGTGTGAGGTTTGCCTGGATAAACTCTTCCAGCTTGTGTGCTGGCACTGAGGTAAAGTCAGGCAACCTACCAGATGACCCATCAGATGATCCCCCAGAAGGCTCCGCAGGTGACCCACTGGCCAACCAGTTTCCCATAGTGGCTAGCTGGCCTCAGGAAGACGCTGGGCAGAGGCAGGGCGCTGAAGGTTGGGACCTGGGGATTCTGCCCTGATCTGAATATAGGAAGTTGAGACTAAAATAGCTGCCCTGCCCCTATCACAGCCTGGCCTAGGAAATCGAAACCCAAGGGAATCACTGCCCAGCAGCTGCAGGGAGAGCTTCCTGCTGGCCAGCCACTCCCGGGGACACCCCAGGTTAACCCTGAAACCTCCAGAGCCTCAGGGGGACACCTCTGCAGGGGCCAGATGTGTGTGTCCTTCAGTGAAGGCGGGGTTTAAATGAGTTCGCCAGACCCAAGATGTTTTATTGGGGAACAACTTACACGGATAAGAGTAAATAACCGCCGTACCCCCACCTTCCTGCTCCAGAAGATGCAGTCTCTGCCCTTCTGATGCTCTCCACTATCCAAGAGAGTGCGCCCGCAGCTCTGCACCTGAAACCACGCCCAAAGGGTGTGGCCACTGGCAAGGCATCATGCCTCTACACTTCAGTGCAGGACTGACTTCTTGGCTCACTAAACACTAAGTTAATTTGGTTTCATGGAGAGTGGAGGCTGCCCGTGGAAACTGGCTCTTTTCTCCTGTTTCCAGTGGCTGGGGCGCTTAGTGCTAGGCTGAGCAGAAGAGAAAGAGCCCAGAGACGGGACAAACATGCTCAAAGACACACAGCAAGGCAGGTACCCTATTAGATGTAGGCTTATTTTCTGCCTTGTGAACACAGAACCCTGAGGAGTAGCTTCCTAACACACACACACACACACACACACACACACACACAGAGGGAAAGTATAAATATTTAAAAATCAAATTAAAAACAAGGGAATTTTGTCAATTCAATACAATTATTTGTGTGTTTTTTTGGGGGGGCGGGCATTCTAGGCAGGGTTTCTCTGTGGCTTTGGAGGCTGTCCTGGAAGTAGCTCTTGTAGACCAGGCTGGTCTCAAACTCACAGAGATCCTCCTGCCTCTGCCTCCCGAGTGCTGGGATTAAAGGTGTGTGCTACCAACACCTGGGTATTTTGTGTGAGTTTTGAGACAGAGCCTTTCTAAGTAGCCCAAAGTGACCTGGACAGGTAATCCCCTGCCTCAGCCTCTCATAGACTATCATTTGTAGCATCTTCTTTCAAGGTATGACAGGACATTGTGTTTAGCTGTCCCATGTTGCAGGTGGTTTCCTGGGAAGCTCACTGGGAAAGGCACAGTGACTTTGTATTCGAGAGTCCCTTTGGAGTCCACCTGAGTACCTGGGCCATCATAACGAAGTATTGACTCCCATACAGGAACCCTGAAAGCAGAAGGACTCTTAAGTTCCTCTAAGTGAGCCAAGGACAGACAATGTCTGCAGGGGACACTAGCAGTTCTCAGGGACCCTGCCTTGGCTTCCTGAGTGCTAAGGTTGCATATGTATGTCACCTCACCCAGCCCAAGCTATGCCCACATGGGCCTTCTCCCCAGGGCCATGGCCTGGATCAAGCTCAATGGATCCGTACTGCCACCACCATGGTGGCTGCTGTCATAGATGGAAGGGTTTAGGTCAGCAAGGCCTCTCTGCCGCCTAGATGGCTGTGACCTCACTCCTCACTCATCCAGCTCACACAGTCACCCCGGTACTGGAGCCATTTTGACAAGAGGGCCCAGGGTCTGTGTGGTGGGAACAGGGGCTGTGATTCTAGGTCAGCGCTTCATCTGCTGCTGGGTTCCATGGAAAAATAGGTCTCCGCTGGTCACATTTGTCTAGAGCAGTGTTTCTCAGGCCGTGGGTCTCCACCCCTCTGGGGTAAAACAACCCTTTCACAGGGGTCACCTAAGATGATCGCACAACACATATTTCCAGTGGTCTTAGGAATCGAGACACTGCTCTTCTGATTGTCGCGTCTGCTGCGCGGCCTGTGTCCGAGAACACGTGCGGAGGGTGTCGGGGATTGACAACACAGAGACTTGTTCAACGATGTAAAGAAAACTTTAAGCAGGCCCCAAAAAGGTTCAAGAAAACTTCCTAAGAAAGGCTCCCACCAGAGAAGCTTCTGCTCTCCTCTCTACCCTGGCTGGTTCTCTCTGACCCCAGAAACTGATCTGGGCGTGGCAGAAGGGGCGGTTAGTCTTTGGACAAGGTCGAGGTCAGGGTGGTTTCTGTGGGCAGGCCTTTTCCAGGAACTTAATGCCCCCAGGCATTGTATTGTTTTTAGTAAACATGTCTTACAGCTGCCTACTCCCAGGCAGAAGGGGAAGTGGGTCTCTGCTCAAGGTCTGGTGTTCCCACACTCTTCTGTCCATCTCCAGGTGGGCCCGCCCCGCCCACATGTCGATATGCCCACACGTGAGTACCCGGAACTGCATTAAAGGGTGGAAGCATTCTAAAGCTCTGAGAATGATGGTGACCAGTAGCCATCAAGAGACGTAATCTGGGGTCTGGTTTGCATCCTCAGTGAGCCGGCTAGGTGAGATGAAGTTGGGACCAACCCCAGTGGGGTTGCCTAGAAGCAAGAGCAGGAGACACAGGTGGTGACAGAGAGGGGGCCTGGGGACCCTTGGCCCCTCAGCCAGGCTGGTCACTGTGGGCTAAGCTGAGGAGGCAGGAATGGACTGTAAGGCTGAAAGCACTAGGAAGGCGCTGTCCTCCTGGCTGTCCTGCATCCCTGTCCGTGTGTCCCCAGCTGTGGTTCAGGGAGAGCCGGGCTGTCCGGGACACTCCTAGTGGGGGGTGGAGAAGCGCAGATTCCTTTCTCTGTTTCTCGTTCCTCTCCTGTGGAAGGATCACTACCATATCCACCCCTCAGGTGGCCTCTCTGGAGGAGCCTGCTGTGGCCACACTGCCCCCAGCGTCTGCCACTTGCTTCCCGTGTGCAGGGCTAGGACATTCATAGGTTATGCCTCTCCGTCCTCCACCTCCCTAGGCCCTAGCTGTCACTTAGACTCTGCTAGGGAATTGGAGGCACGTTCCCATGTAAGACAGACAGGTAGACATTCATTCTGGAGACAGCCTGGCATCGCCCTGGCTCTGGTGGGGATCAGGGGGACAGGAGCAAACACGGTCCATTCCATAGTCCACCCATAGTGTGGTGACGGTGAAGATTCTTTCTGGACTTCCTGCCCCCACCAGGACCCCTGTTTCCATTGTATTTGGGAAGAACAGATGACAGGAGGCAGGATGGTGTGGCACGACCTTTCCTGGGGAGATGCAAGCATATGTCTGTTCATCCCAGACCGGGCACAATGACTGAACAAGGAAAAGACTCCCCTGAGTCTAAGGGGGTGAGCCAATGAATTTACTGGGGTCACAGGGATGACCCCTAAGTATCGTATTATCGGAAAACTTCAATTCCCACGGGTGATAATTGTACTCCTGCACGTCTCACGACCCCTCCCCTCCCTAGACACTACCTCCTGAGGGAGTGGGCGGGGCCACAGGTGAGGCTTGGGACCCTTCCTGCTCCTTCTACATCCCTAAGGCCCAGTCATGACTTGTTTTGCTTATTCCCTTGCCGCAGCTGTGGGTCTGGATATTCTGTAGTCACCATCACATCCTCTGCCCCATGATGGTCACGGTCATATTACGTGGGGACATAGCTGGACCACAGATGATGGGTCTCTGCAGGTGGAGAGAGGAGGTGGCTTCTTGGCAGCGCTGGGACGCTGCAGGGGTGGGGGCAGGGCCCAGGGGTAGCTGAACAGCAGACCGGCAGAGCCTGAGATGTCTGGATTCTGGGGTGCCCAGCATGGGAGTTTGGGGCACTGGGATGATCAAAGTAGAGGCCGATGAGCCCCACTGTGGGTAAATGGGGGAAGACTGAGGGGGTGGTGGGTGAGCAGGCCATCAAATGGGAGACAGTGGGGCACACACATACATTTCACACATGCCACACACAGATATACGCATATATATACATACATACACACATACATACATGCATACACACATACATACATGCATACACACATACATACATACATATACATGAAGACACACACAGACACAGAGGCACACACAGACATATACACATGTACACACACAGACAGACGTATACGTATGCAGACATATGCACATGCACACACACACACACACACATCTGGCCCGATACTCTGGGTCCCCCATGCTGAGGGTGGGCGTCACTTTCTCTCAGCTGGTGTGACCACTGATCTTTCTGGACTTCACACAGACGCCTGTGGGAAGGAAGACATGCTGGTTACTTCAGTATTTCTGCAGAGCTGAGAACACATACCACACAGGAAGCAGAGGCACAGGGGCCACAGGGGCCATGGGTGGGTCCTGCCCTGCAGGGGGGACTGTGTCTGCCCATGACCACGCCCTCTCCCAAAGGATGCATTGTCTACCTCACATGCCTCTCACCTTCACCAGCCACGGTTTGATGGGGCTGCCGTTCTTGTCCATACAGCACAGGGCAGATGTGCAGTCTGTAGCTTTCTTGGCAAGCAGGTCCCAGCGGGCGTTGTGACCCAGGTTTCCTGTTGGGTCAGCTGGGTCCAGGATGATGGGTCTGCAATTGTACCCAGGGTGAGTCTCATCCCCAGAATGTCTACTCGCGACGTTAGCTAGGCTGTTCTCCACTGTCACCTAACAGTGCAGGGCCCAGGGCCAGCACTCGGAACTCATCTGTGCCCCAGGCGCACACTCCAGGGCAGCGGTATAGAAGAAGAGTCATATGAAGTGGGATGTGGGGTCATATGCCTGTAATTCCAGTGCCCAGGAGGCAGAGGCAGGAGGACTATGAGTTTAGAGATGTCTGGGCTACACAGTCTCTTCAAAAGGGGTATGGAAGGGGGGCTGGGGAGATCACTCAGTGGTTAAGAGCACTTTCTGCTTTTCCAGAAGACCTGAGTTTAGTTCCCAGCACTCACACAACATGGCAGCTCGCAAACCTTTGTAACTCCAGTTCCAGAGGATCTGGTGCCTCTTCTAACCTTCATGGGCACTGCACACATGGTGCACATACAGGCAAGCAGTCAAAATGCTACACACATAAAAATTTTAAAAAGTCCTTAAAAAGGAAGGAAGGAAAGATGGAAATAGGGAAGAGCAGTTGCATACGCACCACTTTTTCATGCTGTGTTCAGGCAGACATTACCAATCACTTAGAGTGGTGCTGTTCCCCCTTCTACAGCTGAAGCAGACATTGCTAATCAATTACAGCATTGGTTCTGTCACTGTCCCTTCGAGCATCCATGCAGACACTATTACTTAGCTAATGTATATCCTACATCAGACTTTTTCTCAGTACACACTGCCACTGCCCACAAACGGTCAGTGTAACGTGAGTTTCAGGGACAATCTTGCTTATCTCCGTCCCCACTTCAGAAGTGGGGAGATGGTGAAGAGTGGGCATGCTTATATAACCTGGAGGCTGCCGATGAAGGAGGCAGGGAGAAGTGAGCATTGTGGGGCTGAGGAAGAGGAGTCTGGGGGTGACCAACCTGGGCTTCTGAAGTTGCATCTTCAGGAAGTCACCGATGGTCTTGTCCTCTGCACTGTAGTTGATGGTCCAATAGATACACAGCTGACGGTACTGGCCAACCAGCTCCAGCACCGTGCGGAAACCCTCCGCCATGTTGAACTGGGGGTTCCGGCTGCCCTGCTCCCAGGCGTACACAGTCAGGAGCTCCAGCCCATGCTGCCGGGGCAAGGAGCCCTTCCCCGTGACCGTCTTGTTGCACTGGGGAAGCCAGAGAAAGAAGATGTGTGGGTCCATGTTGGCAACACAGTAGCTGATGCCTCACACAGGTGTGAGAGGGACCCCAGGAATGGACAGATGGACCCCTGAAGCTTAACCAACCACCCGTGTGTGCTGGCCAGGCATCAACCCTTGGCACAGAGACACAGTTTGTTAATGTTGCTTTTTGGGGTGTGTGTTGGGGGTGGAGCTCAGGGCCTCACACATTCTAGGCAAGAGCTTTTACCAGTGCCCCTCCATGAACTGTATCCCTGTATGCCAATTACTTATCTTGAGACTGGTTCTTGCTGAGTTGGCCGGATTATCCTTGAGCTCACTCTGTAGCCCAGGCTAGCCCTGGCTTTTCTGTCTTTTTGCCTCAGCCTCCTATGTAGCTGAGACGACAAGCCTACACAAGACCTGGCTCAACGCCGCTTTATGGACAAGTAAACCAAGGTCGTCTGGGTGGAATGTGACTGACCTCACACGCTATGCTTGTGGCCAAACAGACCCCTGTCTTCTCCACGGAAGGCACTCAGGACACAGTTCGGGGGAACCCAGCCTCGCTGTGTGAATGTGTGTGGGGGAATTTGGGCGACGGATGGCCCTCGTGCCTAACCTGTTGGTACCAGTGCTTCACCAGCCGGATCAGGCTCTTGAGTTTGGTGGGACGGCTGCTAATGAAGTCCCGCTGCAGTTCCGTGAAGCAGGTAGAGAACTCGCCTGCGTTGCTGTAGCTGAGGATGAGGTCCTCGTAGATTCGAGCATCAGGCTTACAGCCAGACCTCAGCTGGCCTGTACGGTGGGAAACGATTGGAGTCACTCTGTCTCTCCTGGGGAGCCCGCGTGGGTCAGGTCAGCTTACAAAGCTGGCCTGAGAGACTCCTAGTGTCCCTTGTCTGTGGGTGATCTGAGACCCCCAGGGAGGTCACCAGGTGGTGCAGTGAGGGTACAGGTGCGGAAGGGCCCAGTTTAATCCCTCGTGAGAGTGGAATTCTCTACCCAGCTCCTTTCCAGTCACCTGCCTGCCTACCATGGAGAAAGTCTTGGCTGAGAGTCAGCCTAGGGTGTGGTGTCTCTAAGCCCCTCTGAAGCCCACTCATCCCTCTCAAGAAGGGTGCTCTGGTAGTCACTGGACAAAAAGCCTTCAGGTAGCAGGGCTGCAGGGGGCAGGGGGCAGGCGGCAGGTACCGCCATGCTACCTCTGAGGAACTCATCAGCACACCACATCAGTTTATGCAAACAGAACCAGAGCCCACATAGCATCTAGAATGCCTGTCTCATCCAGGAGGTGTGTGGGTGCTCCAGGTTAGGGCTCAAACCTGGGTCAAAAGGCTAAGTGAGGTGCCTATTTAACATGTCAAAGTGGACCTGGCCTCCAGGTTCTCCCAGAATCCTCAGTTCCAACCTGTCCAAGGGTATAGCTGGCATACTCCACCCTCTACCCTGAACTCCCCAGCATGGGGGTGGGGCCTGCCCTTCCCCCAGAGACTCTTCCCTATAAAACCCAAACATTTTGGTTACCTGCCTTTTTTTGTACCTTTGGCCTCCTGGCTGCTGCACCTGATTCCCCTCTCTCCCCTCTCCCCACATGGCCCAGCTCAGCCTGGACACGCGAACTCTGGACTCTCCCAGATGTCCCTGCCTCTGGCTATGTTCTCCCTTTTATCTATAATAAACTTTGTCCTCTACCATACCTAGGAGAAGTCATATCTTTTCCTTTCCCTTTTCCTTTATTTATTTTTTATTTTTTGCATTCACTGGGAACTGAACTTGGGTCCTCTGGTGGTTGAATGAGAATGCCTCCACATAGGCTTATATATTCAGATGCTTAGTCACCAGATGGTAGGGCTGCTAGGGAAGGATTAGGAGGTGTGACCTTGCAGGAGGAGGTGTGTCACTGGGAGTGGGTTTTGAGGTCCCCCACCCCCATTCCTGGGGATCAGGTTGTAAACTAAGTTACTTCTCCAGAGCTAGCCGGCTGTCAAACACCCTTCTATGATGTTAATGCACTAACCCTCTGAAACTGTAAGCCAGCCCCCAATTAAATGCTTTCTTTTATAAAAGTTGCCTTGGCCATGGTGTCTCTTCACAACAATAGAAACGGTAGCCAAGAGAGGTCCTCTGCAAGATCAGTGTATGCTCTTAATCACCAGGCCAGAACCCAGCATCTTGGCGGGAATCAAAAGTGGGCCTCACCACACACTGTAGGAGAGTTGTGATGAATCTACACGTCTCCCATGCCGGTGACATGAATAGGTGTGTGGCCTAGTCACACGGTGCACGTCCTCCAGGACTGCCTGGAACCACCCTGCCTGTGTCCTTCCCCTCCTCCGGCCTATGTCTGGGAGCCTCACCAAGGGCATCGAAGGCTGGCAGCACATCAAAGTCCACACTCTGGTCCAGCAGTGTCTGGGATGTCAGGGAGAAGCTGAGTACCCGGGGATTCTTCCTGCTGGAGATCTCAAACTTGACATCAAACTTCTGCTTCCGCTGGCACGCCTCCAGCTGAGCCCTGATCTCCGAGATGATCTCTGCCCGGCGGCTGCCTTGCTCAGAGAAGTGCTGGAAGCAGCTGAGGAATACCACTAGGTCAGCATCCGAGCGCCCTTGTAGAGCTGTGCCTTTGGCAGAAGAACCACCCTGGGGAGGACATGGAAGGAGCCTTGAGCCATGAAGTGCCCTTTGATGTCCCACAGCCTATGTGTGCACGCACCTATGGAGGTCAGAGGTGGACACCGGTGTCTCCATCAACCTCATTCTTATTAGAGACAAGGTCTCTCACCAGCCTGGCGCTGACCAGTCCAGCTGTGCTGACTGGCCAGGGAGCCCCAGGGGTGGTCTTTTCTCTCCTCTGGAGTTTGGGTATCCCAGGCACGCTCCACCAAGTCCAGTGCATGCAGTGCTGGGATGGGACCCAGGGATTCTAGCATGCCAGGGAAGCTCTCTCCCAGGCAAGCGTTTCTTCCAGGAAAAGATAACTCCCTTTCTGGAGGTTTAGCTCTTCCAAGGGCTACCCCATGGAAAGACATACACAGTCAAGCCAGTTTTGTAGATTTGCATGGAAATCATTAGGGTTGTTGATAAATTTCTAGTGTTTTTAGTTTAAAAAGAAAGAGAAAAGAGGATCCAAGAACCAGAGAGAACAGTCAGCCCTGGTACCCTGTGGATGCCCCTGGATCACCCTGTGCCTACAAGTGGACTGCATCCTACCTTCCAGTGGGATCAGTCCCCTTGTTCCTTTGCTGTGGACGTGGACATCACTAGAGCCCACCAGGTGGCTGGAGAGGGGTTCCCAGCCTACAGGAGCCCCCTCACCTGCAGCTTCCGGGGCCTCACCTTAACCACCTTAAGCACCTTGATGGGAGAATTCCGGAAGCAGTTTTCCTTCAGGAAGGAACATATGGTGTCTACCGCTTTCTTCACTTGAGTCAGGAAATGGCGGTCGGGCTGGAGGAATTCACTGATGAACTTGTCCAGGTCCGCAGCTGGGGTCTGGTGAAGAAGGGCTGGCTGTGGAAAGAAATGGGCAGGGCTGGCTGGAGCAGGACGCCAGGGACACCCAAGTGCTGGCCTTCAACATCCAGGACCGATGATGCTCCCACGGTCTCCCGCGTCTCCCACATCCAACGTCCTTCCCCTCTGGCTGTCATGGGAGGGGCCTGAGTTCCAGATCTGCTTCTCCCACGGACACGCAGCCTCAGCTTCCCCACCTTTAGATGGGTGTGGCCACCTCTCCCCACCTCGGTGGATCTCGTGGGATAAACAAATGGAGTAAGACTGTGTTGATTGTGGTCCGGGTATGATTTGCCTTTCAGAGACTCATGCATTGTCAGTGGGGAGGGGGCTGCCTTTAAGGCGGAGCCTTGCAGAATGTGCTTCAAGGTGGTGTTAAGATAGTCCTCAGGGAATCCCGAGTGAGTTCTGACAGGGAGATGTGGCAAGAGGCAGCCTGGCCCTAAGTAGCCCCGTGGCACCCTGTCTTGGCGTGTGATGTGTTCCTTCAACACACACTGCCCCAGCTGTGACACTGTCCATCGTGGCCTCCTCAGCACAGTCCAGTCCATGCCCCGGCCATAACCTTGAGCCACCTTCTCTGCACAGTTGCGGGGCTTCAGGCCTTTCGCTATAGTCACAGAAACGGATTAAGACCGTAGCTGCAGATAGCTTACGTCTTGGATTTTCTTCTCCAAATGCAAAGCCTGAATGTTTGACTGGGACCTCACTTAGAGATGGGGCATGGGGAGGATGCTGCTCAGTGTAGTTCTGTCAACTTGACAAGAACCAGGGTCACCTGGGAAGAGGGAACCTCAACTGAGAAAAGGCCTCCCTCACATTGGCCCTTTTCCTGGTTAACGATTGATGTAGGAGGGCCCAGCCCACTGGAGGTGGTGTCACCCCCGCACAGGCGGTCCTGGATGCTCTGAGCAAGCCACGAGGAACAAGCCAGTAGGCAGCACTCCTCCATGGCCTCTGCTTCAGCTCCTGCCTCCAGGTCCCTGCCCTGTCTTGCCTCAGTGGTTGGCTGTAAGCCAAATCCTGGCTCCTCCTCAAGCTGCTTTTGGTCATGGTGCTGTCACAGCAACAGAAAGCCAGCTAGGGCAGGGAGGCAGAAGAGGGTGGATGGGATGAGAGGCTGGGGTTCAACCAGGCACAGGCTTTGGCCTTAGGGAGCTCTGGGGTGAGGACTGAGCCCCATATAAAGGCAGTTTGTGGTTTCCAAGTATCACCCGGGCACTGGTGGAGATCAGCTCTCCAGAGGAGAGGCAGCTGTCACCATCAGCATTTCTAGTGACTAGGGAGGTGTATCCTGGCAATGAAGGCACCTGGAGGGGAGCCTACAGTGCCCACCACCCCAGTGTCCTACCTTTCTCCTTAAAAAATTAAGACATAGCATTTATTATGTGGCACATGATGTGCGTGGTGTGTGTGTGTATGTGTGTTTGCGTGCGTGCGTGCGTGCGTGTGTGTGTGTGTGTGTGTGTGTGTGTGTGTGTGTGTGTGTGCGCACGCGCGCGTGCTGCAGATCATTTGTGGGGTCAGTTCCCTCCTTGAACTCAGGCTGTCGGGCTTGTGGGCAAGCATTTTACCTGCTGGGTCATTCCAGTAGCCCCGGCAGCCCTGGGGCACTGTTTCTTACCATCACATCCCAGGGTGGCACAGGAGTCCCATCTCCACTCTGAAGGCAGACTTGTGACTCCAGGGCCTCTGCTTCCTGAGCTAACAGTTCCCAGCTGCCCTGGCCCACGTTCCAGGTGGGGTCTGCAGGGTCCAGGACTAGAGGCCTGGGGACAGAGCAGATGGAGGCAGGGAAGGACAGTCAGCGATGAGCAGCTGGGAGGAGCCAAAAGGAACATTAGATGGAGTTCAAGCCAACTGCCCCAGTCAGAGAGCTCTTGGGGCCCTTAACTCTAATGGCGTTTAATTGCGCTAATCAAATGGGCTTTGGAGTCCTCTGGGGCACCCAATGTCCATGCTTCCTCATCAGGATGCAGAGACAAGTGTGTGTGGGGGTGATGATCCAAAGCCTACCAGACTCCAGGAGGGAGGGGGAAGATGGGGTTGAGGGGGGCACTAGGGAGTGTGCATTCACCTGGCTCTCTGAAGCTGGCTGAGAAGGTGTGCTCTGAGGGCTGGATCCTGCACGCTGTAGTTGACTGTCCAGTAGACACGGAGTGACTGGTGCTTCTGGACCAGCCTCAGGATGGTCCGAAGGCCTTCAGCCATGCTGAACCCCTCTTTCCCACAGCCTTGATCCCAAGCAAAGATTGTCAGGAGCTCCAGGGCATAGGCTGGGGGCAGAGTGGTGCCCGCTGCCTCTCCTCCTTTATCTTGAGCGGCAACCTGTCAACCAACCAGAGATCAGTCAACGTGGTCACCTGGAGGCTGGCCCTTGGGACTTAGGGAGAGGCGGGGGTATGTAAAATAGGACCTCAGAAGAACTGGGTCTCAAACAAGACATCCCGGATGATGCTTTTACAGATTGGGGACACCGAGGTCTGGAGGAGGGTTGTGACTTGTCCCAGGTTAGACTGGAAGCTCAGATCTGGGTGGGACCTCCCTCAGGGAGTATGAGGAGTTGTACGGGAACAGGTGCTGCCATCTGTCCCTCATGGCATCTCATCACCCATCCCGCAGGTGGCAAGCGTGGGCTCTGGCAGGTGCGTGCAGAACACACAGTGGTTGTGGGCTAAGGGCCACCTACAGGGTTGCTGCACTGACTGACCAGAGCATCAGTGGTTATGAGGAGGTTGGAATGTTGCATGTTCAGATCCTGGGTTTATCTTTAGCACCCTTGATAGCCATTCATTGCCCAGCTCTGGGTCTGACTTATCATCCCTGTGACTGTTACAGGGAGCCTTTCGGGATGTGTTGATTTAACAGCTAGCATCCACCAACCCAGAGGCTAAAATTGTTATCAATAGCGTATCAGGCTGTAGCAAAGCCATCCCTGATAGCTGTTACCCACCATTGTAGTTCAGAACTGCTTTGATGTATGACTTTTCTTTCTTCTTTGTAGTGTTTTTGCGACAGGGCCTCTCTATGTAGTCCTGTAACTCACAGAGATCCGCCTGCCTCTGCCTCCCCGGTGCTGGGATAAAGGTGTGGGCCATCACACCTGGCTTGCTTAGGCTTTCTTTATTCTGTTACCATAAAATGTCATGAAACTGTCCCCATAGAACGTGGAATTTGGTCACCTAAATCTGGCTGCTCGTATTCCAGTCCAGGTTTTGCTAACTTTTATCCCCTTTGAGGGCAGAGCTGTGTTTTTGTTCTCCTCAGTGGCAGGAATGAGAGCTGGTTTTAAGAGAGGGCTCTTGAAGCTGCCCAGGGTAGAGCCCAACTTGAAAAGAGGTGGTGATGGGGACCAGCGTAGACACGCGGAGATGACGACTGTGACAGTGGCAGCTTCTCGGGAGGGCTGAGTGCTCACCTGGCGGTACCAGTGTTTGACCAGCAGGATTAAGTTCTTAAGCTTGACCGGGCGACTGTTCACGAAGTTCCTTCGGAGCTCTGCGAAGCAGGCTGCGTGCTCCCCGGCCTGGCAGCCGCTGCTGAGGAGGGAGGAGTACACCTGGGGCTGAGGTTTGTCGCTGGAATTCAGCTGCCCTGCAGAAGCACAGAATATGAGCACCAGTCTACCCTGCACAGTTATTGGTGTAATTAAGTTCAGCATTAGTGACTCAATACCACCGCCAGCTATGAGCTAAAAATCAGTTAACAGGCCGGGCGTTGGTGGCGCACGCCTTTAATCCTAGCACTGGGGAGGCAGAGGCAGGTAGATCTCTGTGAGTTTGAGGTCAGCCTGGTTTACAGAGCTAGTTCCAGGACGGCCTCCAAAACAATACAGAGAAACGCTGTCTCCAAAAACCAAAAAAACAAAAACCCCCAAAGCTAGCAATCTGTCTCCGCATCAGTTTCCAGGCTGGCCTGGAACTTGCAGCAGTCCTCCTGCCTCAGCCTTCTGAGTGCTGGGATTATAGGTATATGCCATTTGGTTCATAGTTTTCACTACCTCCCCCTAACTCTGCAATGAGTTCTGGAGCAAGACAGGCCTGGGTTCAAATCTAGTCTGTGTGTACTGCCTCTTTGGGCCTCAGCCTCCTCACCTGTAAAAGGGGTTCATGAGGCTGGAGAGATGGCTCAGTGGGTGAGAGGAATGTCTATCTACCTGTGGGCCCTTAGTAACAAGTCACAGATGAGGAAGTGGTCCTCCATGACGGAGGGGGTGTCTCAAGGATGGGAGATTTAGCACTTTAATGACTTGAAACAGGGCTGGAGGGAAGGCTCAGTGGCTAAAAACATTTGTTGTTCTTGAAAAGGACTTGGGTTCGATTCCTGGTGACTCACAACCTTCTGTAACTCCAGTCCCAGGGAACCTGACACTCTCTTGCGGCTCCTACAGGTACTGCATGCATGTAGCACACAGGCAGACACTCATACACATAAAACAAAAATTAAAAAAGAAACAACAGTTTGAAACTGGACCTAGACCTATGATCCCAGAAGACTTGGGAAGCTAAGGCAGGAGGATGACAAATTTGAAGCCAGCCTGGGTTGCATATGGAGATCCAGTTTAAAATACAATGAATAGGGAGGCCAAGAGAACAGGAGAGATGGGGCAGATGGTCTGAGGGCAGAGAAGAGAGCTGCAGGGAGGCAATATCAAACAGCTGCATGGGTCGCTGGTGCTGGGGAAGGTTTGACAATTGCTCTAAGATCTCCCGGAGGGATTTTCAGTGCTTGGTGAGTCCCAAGGAGTATGGCCGGTACCCCCTGTTCCGTGGCCCCTGGTCCCCTGTGGTCCCACCACTCTCTTACCCACAGCATCGAAAGTGGGCAGCACACTGATGTCCACCCAGCTGTTGAGGTCTGTGGACACCAGCCGGAGTTGCAGAGCGTTGGGCCTGTTCTGTTCAGCGAACTGGAGGCTCAGTCCAGACACCGTTTCCTGCCACCAGGACTGCAGCTGGGTCCGGATGTCACTCAGGATCTCTGCTTGTTGGCATCTTTGGCCCTTGAAATCTCTGAGGACTTTATAAAAGACGACAAGTTCCACATCGCAGTCGCCCCTGATGTCTGTGCCATGGCCGAAAGAGCCGCCCTGTGGACGGAAAGTACGGCTCAGACCTTGGACTCTCCAGGAACCCCGAGCCTCTAGGAGCCAGCGCCCCTGTATTGGCCTGGGACGTGGCTGTCGCTGATGTTGGGTCTGGACCTCGGCACAGCCCTGGGGCCCAACCCTCAGGAGCTTCAAGAGTTGACCTGTATCTGCAGAGCCTTCCTCAAGGTCCACCAAGTCAGACCAGCGAGTGGCTGATAATACAGGAGAGAGTTGAGGCAATGGCCCGTGCCATCCCCATCTGTTCCCTCTAAGCACATCCCTAGCAGAAAGTGGATGTCCAGGTCCTAGAGCCCAATGAGGTGGTGTGTACTCTACTGGCCCGGCTGAGCCAATCACTCAGCTTTCATCCGCATGTTCACTCAAGGGGCTAATTCACTACAGTCGGTAATCAGAAAGTCCCTGGCTTTGGGTTTTGCTTAGTCCCTACCAGGGCAGGAAGGGTACTGGGGACTGAAGTCTCAGACTGGAGACACTAGCTCTCTCTCTCTCTCTCTCTCTCTCTCTCTCTCTCTCTCTCTCTCTCTCTCTCTCTCTCTCTCTCTCTTCTCTCTCTCTCTCTCTGTGCCACTGGGCTCAGTGAGATTGATTTTTAGAAATACCATGGTTAGGCATTGAACATGCGATAGTGGAGGGGAGGGGTGTGAGAGAGCTAAACCCAGGGGAATAGTGTGATCCAGAGAAAAGACTCAAAGAGTGGCCCTCTGGTGAGCCTGGAGCTGGTGAAGGGGTTAGCGGGAGGCCAAAGGGTCAGAAGCAGCCAGAACTGACCCTATGACCCTTGGGGGAACACAGATTTGAGCTCAAGAGGGAAGTGATATGACTTTTTTTTTTTGAGACAGGGTTTCTCTGTGGCTTTGGAGGCTGTCCTGGAACTCTCTCTGTCTACCAGGCTGGTCTCGAACTCACAGAGATCCGCCTGCCTCTGCCTCCCAAGTGAGTGCTGGAATTAAAGGTGTACACCAGCAATGTCCGGTGTGATATGACTATTTTAACAGTGATTTTTAAAGCAACAGCAGCAGCAGCAGCAGCAGCAAAATCCCAGACAACTTATGGGGTGAAGCTCAGTGGTAGAGCAATTACCTAGGGTAGCAAGACCCAGGCATCAATCAAAAGACAGACCAAATGAACAACAGAACTACTGTATCATGCAAAGTAGAACGAGCCAGATGTGGTAGTCCACACCTTCAATCCCAGGTCCAGGGACAATGAAGCAGGAGGATTGCTTGGAATTTGAGGCCACATAGTGAGTTCCAGGTCAGCCTGGGTTGTGTGTGAGCCAAAACCAAAAACAAAAAAATAAATAAAAGGAAAACAAAACAAAAGCACTTAAACCTACGTTGGTCCTCAGTTCAACTGGCTTGGCTTTGGATGGCCCAGCAACATGACTACAATGCTGGATCAACATGCCCAGCGTTGGCTTCTGCAAGCCTGGGAGCACAGGGAGGGTAAGCCAAGGCTAGCTCCAATGTTGGACATATGGGAGATGCCTAAAGTTGTAAATGTAGTTTTGATTTACAGTATTCCCAGCTTAGATTAGGATGCAACTCCACTTTAAGCTGGAACATCTGTCTGTCTACACCCAGGCAGCAAACCAGACCTCCAGGGACATCAGTTTCCCTGGCCCACCTCAGCTCTGTTTCCTCCTTGCCCACCGTGGTTCTCTGAGGCATCTTGATGGCACCTTTGCCTTAGGACTCACCTTGCTGACCCTGGAGGCTTTGTACACACACTTCTCCCGGAGACAGCGCAGGATGGCGTCAATGGCTTTCCTGACCTGCTGCTGGAACTGGGGACTCGGCCTCAGGTGATCCTGGATGAAGGAGTCCAGCTCCTTGCTGGGGATCTTCGACAGATCTGGACCCATCATTGACCCAGCGGTGGAGATGCTGGGTGCCCCTGAGTGACCTGGAGGTGTGTTTGGGGTGGCCAGAGCGTGACTTGAGACATTCGGCACTGCCTCACGGGCAGTCCTTGGGGGAACTGCTTCTCTGAGGTCCTTACTGGCTTTACTGACTGTTGCAGGGACCTTGGTGGCTGCCTGTGGGAGTCCTGCAGCTTGATGCAAAGTTTGTGGGCTCCTCCTTAGCTGAACAGCATTGTGGCCTGTGTTGTCTTCAAGGGCCTGGTTAGGCCCTTGTTGGATGGGGTGGCCCAAACCCAAGATGCCAGCACGTGGAAGGCCCTGGAAGGTGGTGACCAAGCCTCATTGGCCAGAGCAGAGGCTTTGCTCACCACCCAGCCTTTCTCTCAGCCCCCTGACCACAGCTGAGGTGACTGAGGCTTGGGGAGGGGAGAGAGTCATGAGAGATGTGAGCCTTGGTGTAGAGCAGGACAGATGCCCGGATGGAGCGATAGCTGTGAGGATTGCTAGGTGGGCGGACATGCCCTGACAGTGGAGGGTGCCACAGACAGCCCAGGTGCTCTTCCCCAAAGCCTGAGCTGGGTGGTGACACTTCCACTGCCCGACTGTTGCACACCACAGCCCCTAGCACATCAGCACCAAGCCTAAGGTTCCTGGTGTGCTCTCACTCACCGGCCCCTCCCAAGGCTGCTCAGGGACTCCAGACTCCTGCAGGAAGCACCGCTGATTGAAGCAGGACCCCGCCTCCTTGGCCAGTACATCCCAGCGCCAGGCTGTCCCGTTGCCCACATCCCAAGTGGGGTCAGCTGGATCCAGGATCACGGGCCTGTAATTCCAGAGACAAGAAGGCTCCGGGCAGTGAGGAAGGTCAGAGTCAGGGCAGACCTGGTGCTCACCCCAGCTTTGCCTTTTTCTGCTTTGGTGTCCAGGGCAGGTGACCTCCTTCCTCCAGCCTGGTTTCTCTCATTTGCATAAGGATGACATCACCTGCTCTGCTGGAGCCAGGTCCTGAACTCTGGTATGGTGGTTTGAATGAGAACAGCCCCCCCCATAGGTTTATGTATTTAAATACTTGGACTTGGTTCCCCTGTTGGTGGAGCTATTTGGGAAGGATTGGGAGGTGTGTCCTTGTTGGAGGAGGGGTGTCACTGGGGGTGTAGGTGGGCTTTGACGTTTCAAAAGCTTCTCCCCTCCCCATTTCCAGTTAGTCTCTCTCCTCCCTCTCTCCATCCCTCCCTCCCTCCCTCCCTCCCTCCCTCCCTCCCTCCCTCCCTCCCTCCCTCCCTCCCTCCCTCCCTCCCTCTCTCTCTCTCTCTCTCTCTCTCTCTCTCTCTCTCAGCTTCCTGCTCTAGTACCATGCTCCCTGCCATGTGGTCTCACCCTCTGGAACTGTGAACCCTGATCAAATGCTTTGCTTTATAAGGTCACGATGTCTCTTTATAGCAATAGAAAATAACTAAGACATCCGGTTTCACAGCAGAGGCGCATGGAGGCAAACAGGGTCTTCCCCCAGGGACTCTAATTCACACCACCAAGGAGCAGAATGCAATCCACAGTGTGATAATTCACACAAAGGAACAGTTCACACCAACAAAGAGAGAGCGAGCTGCCAGATTCTGTGCAATATGACTTAAGAGCAGGCAAGACATTGATGATGAAAAGCAGAGCAGGGGGGCGCTGCTGCCTGGGAGGGCCTACTGGCCTGCTGGACACCTTGCATGGCTGAGCGGTGGCTTCACAGGTGTGAACTGTCATCAGTGTATGCATGTCACATGTCAACTAAACAGGAACAACAACACGAGTCCTGGCTATGGTTCTATTTCTAAATTCTTAGTTAGCCAGGACTAACTCATTCCCTAGTGCGCAGGACAGGACAGCAGGCAGCGACGGCGGAGGAGATACCTGGGCCTCTCAAGCTGCCTTCGTAAGAACTCCCCAACCACAGGGTCCCCGAAGCCATAGTTTTCCGTCCAGAAGATGCACAGGTCCTTGTTCTGTTGGATCAAGGCCAGGACCGTTCGGAGCCCTTGGGCCAGTCTGAACTTGTCCTTCCTGCAGCCTTGCTCCCAGGCAAAGATGGTGAGCAGCTCCAGGGCATAACTAGAGGGCAGCGTGGTCCTCATGGTCTCCTGTGCCTGCACCTGTGGGCAGCAAGGAGGACTTGGCTTGTGAGGGGGACAGAGCTGGAGCTTACAGCACTCCACAGCCTGAGCCTGGGTGAGGGCGCTGCTTCCTCTGCTGACCCCAGGACCAGTCCACACTCCCCCATTTTTCTCATCTGCCTGTGAGGTCTCACACTGACTTAGGGGTACAGGAAGGAATGGGTGTCAGGCCTCGGCCAGGAAATTAATATGCTTGATGACGTTCAAATTCAACTATTTCCAGTGACAAATGACTCTTAAAGACAGCAGGAAGGCAACCCAAAGACTGGGCGGACACACTCGCATTACTACGAGTAGTAAATAAGGCTCTCAACATCCACAGTATGCGAAGAGCACCAGTGAACCAACAAGAAGTCAGCTCACAACAGAAAGCCATAAAGAACACAGCAGGCGCTAAATAAAAAATGGCCACTAAGAGACAAGCCAACCAGTCTTAGGCTGCAGACGGGACCCAGCCAAACACTCACCTGGCGGTACCAGTGTTTCACCAGCAGGATTAAGTTCTTAAGCTTGACTGGGCGACTGTTCACAAAGTCCTTTCGGAGCTCTGTGAAGCAGACCGCATGCTCCCCGGGCCGGCAGCCACTGCTGAGGAGGGAGGAGTACACCTCAGGTTTGGGCTTGACTCCAGAGCAGGGCTGTCCTGGGGGGCGGCAAGGAGAGCCGGTTAGGAAGGATACTGAGCACTGACCTCAGCCTGTCCCTGGGAGCGCAATTGACTTGGAGGAGGGGGTGGGGGTTGGAGACTGGGAGGATGGGGGCCTGAGAGGAAGAGTGGGGTTTCGAGGTACAAAGAGGAGTTTCTATCTAAGTCAGAGGTGCTGGGGGCTGTTGTGGTCAGGAATTGGTCAGAGTGAGGAACAGGCCTGCACCTTGCCCTCATTCTCAGATGAGGACAGAGGCATGTTTTGGAATAAGTCAAAGCATAGCTAGGGCATGTTTGAGAAGTAAAAATTCTCATAAAGGCACCAAGAGAGTATTTTCACCAGCCCCATGCCCGCATAGAAGCCTTAGCCTTTACAGCTGAGGGAAGCCAGGGCTGCCAGTTGAGGGCCAAGCACCAACTCAGGGCCACAGACCAGGAGTACTAGGCCTTCCTGGCTCCTGTGGTGTCTGAACTTGATACATTTAGGCAAGAAACTGAGGTCCAGAGAGGCCTACGGACTCTCCAACGTCACTCAGCAAGTGGGCGGAAGGTCAGAATGCAACGACCCATCTTTCTCCTGATGATGGAGCCTCCAACTCTGGATCAGGCTGAGGACCCCTCACCCAGGACATCGAAGGCAGGCACCAGGCTAACATCCATCCAGTTTTCCTTGTCTGCTGACATCAGCCGGAAATGCAAGACACCGGGCACCTTTGGCTCAGAAAACTGAAAGGTCAGGCCAGGCCCAGGGTGGCATCCCCAGGACTCCAGCAACACCCGCATGGCACTTAAGGTCTCGGGGCATCTGGTGTTCTGGTCCTCATAGCTCCTGAAGCAGCTGAGGAAGATGACGAGTTCGGCGTCACAGCCACCTCTGAGAGCTGTGCCCCGGGCATAGGCTCCTCCCTGTGAAGAAGAAAAGACACTTGGGGACCCCACACTCCAGTTCTGCTCCCCACGGAGGATCCTGAAGGACTGGGTGGGCCACGTGGACTGAGGAAAGGCAGCCATGAAGCTCTCTGCATCCCACACCAGGCAGACCCAGGGTCCTTCTCATGGCAGCCATGAGCTCTGGGAGAAGTGACTTTGATTTGTAAATTTATGACTCTCATTTGATGCTGGGTACCGGCCCCACCTTTTTCTTTTCTATTTAAAAAAGATTATTTATTTTTATTTCGTGTGTATGAGTGTTCTGCCTGCACATATGTATGTATAATGCATGTGTGCCTGGGGCCCACAGAGCCCAGAATAGGGGTGCTGGATCCCTCGGAGCTGAAATTACAGACGGTTGGGAGCGGCCATGTGGGTGGAGGGAAGCTGCGTCCTTGGCAAGTGCAGCCAGAGCTCTGAACCCCTGAGCCTTCTCTCCAGATTCCATTTCACATGTGTGCATGTTTGCAATGTGTGGGCACACATGTGCATGGGGGTGCATGTGGACACGTGTGTGTGTGTGTGTGTGTGTGTGTGTGTGTGTGTGCGCGTGCCTGGGGATGCACAAAGTTGATGTCATGGGTCATGCGGTCATCCTGGTCATTCCTCCACCTTACTCACTGAGGCAGGGTCCCTGGATCAAACCCAGTGCTCGACAATATGGCTAGTCTCGCTGGCCTACTTTCTCTGAGGATCCTGTCTCCACGTTCTTGGGACTATGTGGTTGCTGGGGGATTTGAACTCAGGTCCTCATGCTTGTGTGGCACCAAGCTGACCCTCCAAGATCCATTCTCAGCCCTTTAAAAACTGAAATGGCTGGGCAAACCAAGTGTGGTTGAGTGAGCTCACAGTCTTGGTGGCAGCAAACACAGAAGTGTGCTGTGACAGGCCTAGTGTCCCAGAGCTTTCTGATGGCACTTCGGTCTCAAAGCTCCTCCCCGAGGACTCGGGAAGGAGACATCCACGCCCTGTGCCCTGCATCTGTACCCATTATCTGCTCCCAGCACACAGCCACCCTGGTGTGGCCACATACGGTGGCTGATACAGGCACACGAGCACGGGACAGCGGGAATTAGACTGAGACACAGGTCCCCCTTTGTCATCACAACTTCAGGCCCCTCTCACTGTTGACCCTCAAGCTGTGTGCGGAGGGAAAGGAAGCAGCAGAGGAAATGGCCACTGGGCAGCTTCTGGTCTCCCACGTGAGCGTCCCACCCTCCCTAAGGATGCTGGGGTGAAGGTACTATTGCACCCTCACCTCACAAGGGAACCATGAAGAAACAGGGAGGGGATACTTGCAACTCTCTTCCCTCAAGCCAAAAGAGGAGGGCGAGGTCCCAGCTGACAACTCGGGGATACATCGAGAGGGTCTTTCCCCTACCATACAGTATTGGGCTCAATTTTGGTTTTCAAACCCATGCCATGGAGAGCTTGAAGAGGTTTCAACCCTCGAACCCTGTTCCTTCCACCTCCACTCCTGTCCTCTCTTTGTGACTGAAAAAGGAATCTCTAGCCTGGCAGTGGAGGCTTGTGGTGGCCCATGTCCCTAGCCCCAGTACTCAGGGGCCATGTTAGGTCTGAAATACCATGTTAGGTCTGAAATACCATGTTAGGTCTGAAATACCATGTTAGGTCTGAAATACCATGTTAGGTCTGAAATACCATGTTAGGTCTGGCTCTCTGAGCAGGCAGCTGTGCGGCATAGGACAGGCAGCTTGCAGCCACTCCTGAGACTGCCAGTCACCTGAGATCAGGGTTCATTCTGACACAGCTCCTGCGGTGTGTGGCTCCCAAGCTCTTTGCCTTCCTTCTTGGCTTTCTGGCCCAGCTACAAAGCCTAGAATCCCGAGAGCCCTTTCAGTGGGGAGAGACGCCCCTGAACCTCAGTGTGGGCCATGGAAACGGAGCTGACCTTCCTCTCTCAGAGCCACAGTCCTCAGAGACCCCAGGTTGATGTCAGTCACAAAGGCCTGTGGGGGTTTTCTAGAGAGCTGTAGACACCAGGGCTTAGACAGGCTTAGGCTCCCTCCCTGAAGGATCCCTCATAACCCTGTACCCATAATCCTCGGAGCCAAACAACCGCCATCTTGGGGAGTTCTGCAGTGACTGTGCAACAGATCACCACAGCTGAGCTTGTTGGCTGTTTATCTCCATCATGGACGCTTACCTCAGCTGCTCCCTAGCACCTGCTTCCTGCACATGGTCCGGGGAGGGCCGGGGTGTATAGGCTGGGGAGGCTGTGTGTGTATGGGGGCGGTCTGTGCAGCTTCCTGAAGACCTCCTCCCTGCAGGCTGATGACTTCCCAGCATGGTCTTTGAAGGTAGTACCCCTTTTGCAAGTACCCCCTTCCCTAGGCTCAGTAGGGAAGCCCAGTAGATTCATTGATTCCCCAGAGTGACTGTGGTGGGTTTGTTCCTCCGTTCATCCTCAGGGCTAAGGAGGAAGGATACACGCTGCTCACACCGCTCACTCTCCCCAAGGATCTAGCCACATCTGAAAGACGGAAGTGGGGTCTGCATCTCCCAGGGCAAGGGACTCCTTCCACATCTCTAGCTAGGATTAGCCTTAGTAACGGGCAGAAGAACTGAGACCTACCCAGGACAATCTCTAGACTCACCCCACCCCTGCTAGGTTCCCATGATGTCCCCACATCCCCAGGTTTACCCAGATTAAGGTGACTCACAGGGTGTCTCCCCACTCTGAGTATTTACAGGTTACAGAGGCAGTGTGGCACAATGCTCGCGTGACATAATGTGCCCTGGAGAAGTAACATAACCACTTGCAGCCTCAGTTTCCCCATTCATAAAGCTGGCAGTAATTCCCTACCTCAGGAACCATGAGGATTGAGGGAGTTGGTACCGGTTTAAGCAGGTCATGTTCATTGCCACTTAGCTTTTTCTCAAAGATTGGGCCACAGTGGGTGTGAGTGTGATCCCCAGTCTCAGAGTGGTAAGGCTCGGGCAGTGTCAGGGTTAGAGTCTGAATGAGTGAGTGAATAAATGAATGAATGAATGAGACAGTCTTTAAGACAGCACGGAAGTAATCAGGTCACCCTGTGCTCCTGCCTGGGCCCTTACCCTGGATGTTTCTTGGCATCTTGATGCCTCAGTTTCCCCGCAGTGTGGCTGGTTAAAGCAACATCTGACCCATCCCTCAGAAGACCAAGCAGGACCACCTTGGGATGCCCCACCCTCTCACCTTGCTGATCCTTATCACGCTTGGTTTCTGTGGCCCCAGGGCTCCCCGCAGCCGTAGGGCGGAGTCCAGGGACCCCAGAGCACCCCGCACGGCGACTATGAACTCAGAGGATGGATGCAGGCTGTGGGCCACCAGCTTGTCCAGAGCTCCAGCTGGCGTGTGGTACAGATCCATGTTGACCTGTGTCCCCAGGAGAGTTTCGTTTCTCCCTCGGGTTTGTAGGGCGTGTCCTGGACTGATAGGCAGGGCTGTTATTTCCTCCTTCTCCCTCATTTCCTCTCCTCTCAGAAGCTCAGGGGCTGTCGTAGAGATTACCAGTTCATGGCTATGCTTTTGCATCAATGTGGTTCTGACCCCCTTGGGCGGCCCAGGAACCCCAGTGACCAGGCTCTCTGGGTTGGCCGAAGCTTCCTGAACTCTTACCCTGGGACCCGGGACAAGCTGCCCACAGAGCACCTCAGAACCAGGCTTGAGGAAGCAGACCCCCTCCATGCATGCCCCAGTTCTCATCTATTCTGTTTTGTTGTGGGGCCCTGTGTTTATGAGATAGACTCTCCAGGCCTCAGTTTTTCCATCTGTAAGATGGGGGTTACATTTGTGAACTACCATTAAATGCCTGGTGGTAATCTACATACAAATATCAACTCGGTCCTCTGCAAAGTCTCACAAGTCTCAACAGCATTGCGATCTGTTGTAGAGGAAGGAAGGCCGAGGGACAGAGAGGTTGAGTGAGTCATCCAGCATCACACAGCACAACTCGCAGTGTTAGGATTTGAACCCAGGACTTCCAGTCCCAGGCATCTTGACTTTGTGCTCCTTGCTCTGCTGGGGTACAAGGTTGCTCCACCAGAAGGTGATGGTTTGATGAGTGTGAGGTCCTTAGCCCGGGCCGCACACAGCCCTAGGGAAGAACTGGGAGCTGCTGAAGTTGGCATCGTGTCTCGGATGAACCACCGAGATGCTGAAGGTAGAATCAAGAGCAAGTCTGGTGGGAGGAATGGAGGCCTCATGCGCACGTGTGAGCGTGTGTGCGTGTGTGTGTGTGCGCGCGTGTGTGAGTGAGTGCATGTGCGTGTGTGAGTGTGTGTCTGTGTGCGTGTGTGAGTGTGTGAGTGTCTGTGTGTGAGTGTGTGTGTGAGTGTGTGTGTGTGTGTATGTGTGCGCGCGCACACATGCCAAGACTGCACAAGCATGGGAAAGAGAGTCATGCTGATCTGATGTTTGGCTTCTGTCTACGTGAAAACCTGGTGTCTTCAAATGGTGATCATAGCTGGCAGAGAGAGTAAGACACACACACACACACACACACACATACAAACACACACACAAGAGACAGAGAGAGAGAGGGGGAGGGAGGGAGAGAGGAAGGGAGGAAGAGAGCTTGCTTTAAACTAATCTGGGTCTTACCAAGCTAATATGGGCACCCCTAGTCCCCCTGGTCGGTTGGTTGGTGCTGTTAGGCAGAGAGGGAGGGCCTTTAGGGAGCCTGGCCTCAAAGAGGGCATTTGAATCTCCATAGCAACAGAATAAATGGTTGGAAACTCATATGAGAAAAGACCTCAGAGATGCCTGCAGGAGAGAATGGAACCTGGCTGAAAAGTCCTTGGAATCAAGCAACACCGACATTAGAGTTAACCTCACACAGTGCATATGTCACCTGTGAGTCTGGTGCTTGGTGGGATGTCACTCATGAGGTCTAAACTAATAAATGAATAGAGGGCAAGTCGAACAGTGAGTTCTTTTAGGGGGGTGGTTTGTTTCTAATTCACAGAGATCCACCTGCCTCTGCTTCCCAAGAGCTGGGGTTAAACACAGGCACCATGATGCCTGGTCCTGTCCAAGAATCTAACTTCTCCAAAACAAATGAAAACTAAAAAGCCTCTGTCTTCTTCCAGTCCTTGGAAGGATGTTGCGCCAGCGCCACAAGCTAGGTCCGAGGTATCAGGAAAAGAGAGACCAGACGTACAAACTGTTTGTACTAAGAGAATGCATGTGTTGCCTTTATTGCCAGGAGTGTGTGTGTGTGTGTGTGTGTGTGTGTGTGTGTGTGTGTGTGTGTGTGTTCATTGCAAGTGCTAAGAGGTCTCCCCTTTCTTTCCTGATCTTGGTGTCAGGCGAAGGCCTGGAGATTTAATCCAATCCACCCTCCAACTGAGCTCTCAAATAAACCCTGGAGATTTGACCATTCAATTTTACTGTTAGAAGTTGAGGTACCTGTTTAATTCTTTTCTTTCTCGAGTCTCTCCTCCCCTGAGTCTTCTTTCTGGCCGATCTTTCCCAGTCTTTCCAAGTCTCTCTGGATCTCAGTGGAACCTCCAATTGTTGCGCCAGCACCACAAGCTAGGTCCGATTGTGTATTGTTTTGGAGGCTCTCGGTCCAGCCCGGCCTCGAACTCACAGAGATCCGCCTGCCTCTGCCTCCCGAGTGCTGGGTTTAAAGGCATGCACCACCACTGCCAGGTAAAACACTCCGACTCCGCCGGGACTCGAACCCGGAACCTTTGAATGCCTTCAACCTCTAGAAGTCCAATGCGCTATCCATTGCGCCACAGAGCCACCGGAAGAGGGAAGAGAAGAGGCACAGGTGATGGCTTGTGTGGGACAGTTTCACTTCCTGCTGGTAAAAGCCCTTGTCACCTTTGATTGTTGCAATCTTATGCAGAAAAGGTGAATGTGTCCCTGTGGTTACAGTAAGCAGTGTCACTTCCAAAGCTGAACTCAAGAAACCTGCAAAAGATATGGAGAAATATCTTAATTTCTAGTTAATGTTGACACCAAAACTAAGCAGAAAGTGTCACCCACAATCATGCCAACCAGACAGTGACTGGAAGGGAACAGGGCAGAAGAAATGCATTCTTCCAGCAAAACCAGGGTTCAGTTATGAACACAGATCAGGCATTTCCAGGTCAATGAATCCATCTCTGCTCCAGCTAGAAAGGAATCTACTCTAGGTGACTATGCATTGTGACACTGTCATATCTTTGTCATCTTCCAGCCACAACATTCCAGGTGAACAGCACTGCTCATTCTTTTCTATCACTTAAAGTCGTCAACAGTCTTACCTGCCTGTGAACCCTACCAATAAGGACTGGCCTGGCAAGACACACCCCTGGGTGCAACAGTAGCATGGATGTTATGGGGGGTCACCTGCCACATTCTGACTGGGTTTGAGGCTCACTCTACAAGAGGAAACTTTAACTGTACATCTGGTCAAAATCCATGTCTGAGAGCTCATGGCTCCAGGGATGAACCTACTGGAGTTATTTTGACAAATGGACATAGTATCAGGCTGCCCTCTGTATCTCCATGCCAGTGCAGCTCTGTGACAACAGCAGAGAGGTCTCTGCGCAGTGATGGTGGTGACTGCAGGGAAGGACTTGTCTGGAGTGAGAGGCAGTGGGTGTGGCTCAGTGGCAGAGTGCTCACCTTACCCAGCATGCATGAGGCCTGTCATAAAAGAGTCATCCTGGGGGCTGGAGAGATAGCTCAGCAGTTAAGAGCACTGATTGTTCTTCCAAAGGTCCTGAGTTCAATTCCTGGCAACCACATGGTGGCTCACAACAATTTGAACGAGCTCTGATGCCCTCTGCTGGCATGCAGGCAGAAGATTGTATACATAATAAATAAATAAAATTTAAAAAAAGGAAAGAAAATAATTAAAGAAAAAAAAGAGTCATCCTGAGTTGCCTGTGGTTTTGATGTCAGAGCCAAGAGAACAGCCGAGGTCATCGTGGCTAAGCTGCTCTCTGTTTCCTTAGGATCCTCAACTTCCATCTCCGATGGCCCTCGCACATGGCCAGGTGAGGGTGGGATTTGTTCCCGTCAGTGGAGATCCAGCTTTCCCAATTCCCCTGCAGAAGAGCCCTTCTCCCCATTGTGTGTCTTGGTAACCCGGTTAGAAGTCAGTCAACCATTCTGATAACTGATCTTCTCAAACATCATTTAACCCCTATGAATCCAGACAAACTCCACAGATGGGGAGGTGGGCTGACACAGGTTACCGAGTGTTATTCAGTGAAGGAAGCAGGCGGCAGACATTTCTGGAAATGCCCTCATAAGATGTGTCCAGAGGTGTTTCCAAGGAGGGTGTAAGGCTGGTGAAGTTGGCCGTGAAGATGAGCCACCGTGGGCATTAGAAGGAGCCATAAGGGATGTCTAGAGGATGAGGGAAGTGGCTGTCACAGCTTTATTGACTTAAATCCAATTTTATTTTATTTTTATTTATATATTTTATTTACTTTCTATGTATACAGCTTCTGCCTGCATGCCAGCAGAGGGCATCAGAGCTCATTCAAGGTGGTTGTGAGCCACCATGTGGTTGCCGGGATTTGAACTCAGTACCTCTGGAAGAACAGTCAGTGCTCTTAACTGCTGAGCCATCTCTCCAGCCATTAAATCCAATTTTAAATTTGAGCCCACTGAGTGTAGATGAACTGGCTTCCTGGGGATCTGAACCCTTGCAGTACCTCGATGGACGTGCACTACTTACTCAGTGGGTGGGCCAACGAGAGGAGGAAGTGTTGGGGATTATTGTTGTAAGGTGTGTTGCTTTGGTTTATGCTGCATTCATTTAACTTGTGAAGCTGTGCTACTTTGCCTGCCTAAATACCTGATGGTCTAATAAAGTGCTGAATGCCCAATATGGAGGCAGGAGAAAGGACAGGCAGGGCTGGCAGGCAGAGAGAGAGTGAATAGGAGGAGGAATCTGGAAGGAGAGAAGAAGGAGTAAGAGAACAAGGAGAGGATGCTAAGATCCAGCCACCCAGCTACCCAGTCAGCCACAGAGTGAGACTGGGAGTAAGACATACAGGAAACAAGAAAAGGAAAAAAGAGAGGCAAAAGTTAGGTGGGATAACTTAAATTAAGAAAAGTTGGCTATAAACAAGCCAAGTTGAGGCCGGGTGTTAATAAGTAGTAATAAGCCCTTGTGTGATTTATTTGGGAGCTGGGTGTTAGCCACCAAAAGATCCCAAAGAGTAAAACGTCTCACAACAAGGAAGCACCCGACCTTGGGCAGAAGATTGAAGTTGAAGGCTGGACTTGGAAACCCAAAGTGTCTGCCATCAAGCCCTGCCACTTCCCTGACCAGCATGAACTGTGAGTCAGAACCCACACGGCACCCAAGGAAGAGCAGGGTAGACCCCAGTGCTTAGGGTCAAAGGGCTCTCAGGCAGGCGCAGTCAGGAGCAAGCATGACCCTGCACAACATGGC